AGGGGGGTCAGATCGACTTCCGGTTTGCGCCAAAAATTTTCTTTTTTCATGCTCTTTCTAACGATGTATCACATGATGGGGGTTGCCATTTGAAATTTTTGAGTTGCTCCCCACCCCCCCTCCCCCTGGGGGGGTGAAGAACTGAAAAGTACCTCAAAAAGTTTCCTCCTCGATATGAGGAAGGACGCCACAAACCGCAAATCGAAATCATAATTAGAACTAAAGTTATGGCCAGTGGTGCGTAACTTTTGAATAACCCTGTATAGCTCCTTCTGATTTAAATACGTTTAACTTTCTATCCTTCATTGTTAATTGTGTGGATCCGTGGAAAAGAAGGCTGCAATTCCCAGTTCAAAATTTCCCTTTTTCCATTCTCCCAGATTTTTTAGAAGATAACTTTTGTTGAGAGAGAAATAAATAAAAATTTAAAAAACTAATGCGATTCAGTCTCTAAAAAGAGTAATAAAAAAAGGTCTAAAAATCAATGAAAGTTAGTTTTTAACAATGCTAATAATTTTTTTTTCTGATAATAATCCATGAAATTCACCCAGTTAATGAAAATAAAAATGTAAAATAAATACCCATCTAAATAATATTGGCACTTCGCTTCTTTATCTGAGAATCTTAGCTCATTAGACATTTAGCCCCAAGTGATTTTTTTTTGTTTCAAAATTTTAATAAAATTATCAATTTGTTACTTACTGATACTGAAACCTTGGCTCTAAGATACCTCCAGATGTTCTTTGTGTGTGTCGGTCAAAATATGTGACAAATGTCTTCTATTTTCTGCTAAAATTAATCTGCTAGCAAAATATCTTTTGAAATCTATTAAGCAGTTATAAGTAGCAATTGTTTTCCCCCCTATTGAAAAATTGTATTTTAAATGAGTTGTTTCTTTTGCTTTTGTCTTTGCTTTGGCCATGTATTGATTTCAGTGCTTCTAAGTTGCCACACATTTGTTTACCCAGGTTACTGCGTGGAGGGAACGTTAGCTAAAACAATCCTATCGGAGCCAGAAGAAGTTGTCGCAATGACAGGCCAGAAACTTCCTCTTAAAATGTCCGTTGACTACATCTCATTTTCTGCTCACACTGACTATCAGCAGACAAGTGAATTCATCCGCATTCTCCGCCCTCAACATGTGGTACTGTTACTTTTCTCTTATTCTATCTCATTGTCAGTTGGGTGCTAGTATATTATTGCAAGATTCAACTAATATGAATTTGTCCCCAACTTTTATGTTAGGTGTTTGGATTTAAAAAAACCAGAAGCCAGAAGATCATGTCCCATATCATCATAGTCCTATATCATACTCTTATCAACAGAAGACATGTTTAAATTCTTCGTGAAATTTGACTCCACTCTACGCAGCCTAACTTTATTCGCTGAATGCTGAATATTTGCTAGGTCCTGTGTAATTTGGAGACAACATTGACCGTAAGTCAACGCAAGATGAATTATTCGCCGTTCTTATTCAAAGTCGGTCTTTGTACCCTGAGTCAAAGAAATTTAGAGAATCTGGGCTTTCATCACGATTCCCAGACACCATCTTAGCTACATTCATCCTCTTGCCAAATTTTTTGGAGATTTTTACCATTATCGAGTTGCTGTTTTGTAGCTGGCGAGTTAAGATATGCAATACTCTCTCCTCGCTCGGAAAATGTTCGCTGTTTTTTCTAGAAATTTGATGCTTGCCAAATGATGAGTAAGATTTGACGTGGGTGAGTAGTGTGGAGGGAAACATTTGTAGACACACTCACCACTTGCTGAACCCTGAATGCTTGTCATTCAGCTCCCTATCTGGTTAATGCTGTATAGTGTGTAATTGCCTTAAAACAATGAACTTGAGTTGAGCAGCCTTGCCTAATTCACAAAGAAGGAAAGATATAGGGCATCTTCCAAAAGTGTGTTCTGGAAGTTGATTATTGCATAATTTGCTCATCAAAGTTAAGTAGGTGGCTTTCTCAGTAGTTTTTACTGAAAAAAGAGAAGTTTTTCATAATAGTTTTCAGTACATAAGATGTCAAAAATAGTCAGAAAAATAGATAACTAGACCATAACCTGTCAAATATTAATATTAATTCATGAAAATTCTTTTTAAATATTACACTGAAGGTCAACTAAACAATTATTTGGCAAGAATGGTTTTATTTACCTTCCTAAGTTTTTCATCCAAAAAAATTCCTTGAAAATTGTTTCCCATTTACTCAGTTATTCTGAGGAAAAAAGAAAAACTGGCATTAGTCAGTGTGACTTAAAATGCATTTCGATGGATTATGTTTTCAGGTTCTAGTTCATGGAGAACAAAATGAAATGGCTAGGCTCAAAGCTGCTTTGATGCGGGAATATGAAGATGATCCGGACACCAAAATGGAAGTCCATAACCCTCGTAACACCATTGCTGTGGAGCTCACTTTTCGTGGTGAAAAAGTTGCGAAGGTAGGTACCTTCATTTTTACTTTTGAATTTGAGGAATCCTCTCATGAGTGTTTGCTCTTGTGCCAGTTTATATAGCTTACTGTCTCAGTAAATTCTACCATTTTTTCGAACGTGTCTTTTGCTCCAGACACGCAAGTCCCTGGAAGTTACTTTGAGTAAAAAAATTGAATTTTGGGTTTGAAACTTTGACACTTGAGTTTGGAAGATGAGGAAAAGTAAAATGATCTCATCTAAAAAGTCTGTCAGTTTTTTCTTTCAAAATGTAATAATCACTTGATTTTTCCAGGTCATTGGCAACCTAGCTGTGCAGAAACCTGTGAAAGGCAGCAATCTTTCAGGAATTGTCATTAAAAGGAACTTCAACTATCACGTAGTTGCGCCTGAGGATTTATCTAGTAAGGAATTTCTTTAAAACAGTTTTTTCATTTGGTGGAGAGATTCTTAGAGATTGAATAGCCCAAGAAAAATGTTGTAAATTGCGAAGCCTCTACTCTCTCCTTGGACGATTGGAACTAAATAAAACCACTCACAACTATGGGCAGAACGTGTTTGAATGCCGAGAATTAATAGGGATACTTTTTTCGAGGTTGCTGGAGGAATGCTGTTTACGAGGTCTGTTAGATTAGAAACCGGATTTTGGTCATAAATAGCCCACAATGCGTCCAAATTACGTTTTCTTGAGTTTTTCTGATAGCTGAAAATATATTTAAGAACGCTACGTTCACAAATTTGAAACATTTTAATTAGCTTCGTTGGTATGTGGCTTGAAGTAAGGCAACCTCAAGGGTGTCTTGCGATTTTTATGTTTGACCGAACTTGTCTCTCTTTTTTCGGTCTTGCACTACATTTTTCAACCCACAAGGACGATTGGAGTTTTGTCTCCATATCGTAGCCGTACACTGAAGTATTGTTACCGAAAATTATCCTATCCAAAAATGTAGGATCATTGTTGGAACGTTCAAGCAGCTAAAGGGAAATTGACATTTGGTTGGATTTTCGTTCAACGGACAACAATCAAGGGGCAAGTGTACCTGAAACTCGATGCGTATCTACATATTCCATCAAAATTGTATGTACAGAGCTTTCAGAAATATTACTCTGTTCAACAAGCTCGAAACGACCATTTTCGAGCACTTCTTCCACGTGACAAATGTCAGTTGCCGTTGAGGGTTGAATCCCATACTCCTCATCTTTGACAAACTCCTGACCCGTTTTGAATCGTTTAACCCACAGCAGCATCAAAACAATGAGAACATATCATACAACGATCTTGGTAAACTTTACTTAGCATACCAAAAGTTTCGGTACAAGGTATACCGAGTTTATAACAAAATTTAATGTTGAATCTTTGCTCTATCAGTGATCGCATGATGGAAATCGCAAAACGCACCTGACTTACTCGTATTCAAGATGACACAGAATAAACACTAATCAAAATAAACAAAATCTGTGAACATGGCGTTATTTAGTATATTTCCAGCTATCAGAAAAGCTCAAGAAAACCTAATTCGGACGCATTGTGGGCTAGTAATGACCAAAATCCGGTTTCTAATCTAACAGACCTTGTATCCCCTTCCATCATCTGGAAAAAAACTCCTCATTTCTCAATAATTAATTTTCTACACCTCTCAATTTTATGGTCGAAACATGCTATTAGCATACTTTTTCAAATCCTGTTATTGCGCTTGTTTAACTTTTTTTCCTTAGACTCCACAACATAGGAAAAAATGGACATCAGAGATTTTTTTTTGAGATGCTCCAATATTTACTTTTATTCTAGCAATGTTAACTTGTCTCCTATGTTTGTTTATGAAAAAGGTTTTTTTAGAATCACAATGAGTGCAAACATTTTTTGTAAAAAATCAAAACCAATCTACTCAGGTCAGTCAATTCATGGACGAGTTTTGAGACCCTACTGCGCAGTGGCGGTAAGAAGTTTTAATGCAATGTATACCTCATAAGAGAAGCTAATGCTGTATTATACTGGCCACAGTTGAGTCAGAGTAAGGCAGGGGAGTAAATTTTAAAAAGATGTACAGTAGTTGACTTGTGTAGGTTGGTCTTTTAAAAAATCATAGTAGTCGGTAAGAATTTTATGGACCAAGCATTCTTTCTGCACATGTAATCAAAGTTAGTTTTCTGATAGTTTTTTACTTCTCCATTTTACAGAGTACACTGATATGGCAACATCTTTGGTAACTCAGTCACTTTCGGTTCACTTCTCTGGGTCGTTTTCAACTTTGAAGTACCTGGTGGGACATCTGGCTGGCCCTGTTGAGGAATCAGTGACAGAAGAGAAGTTAAGAGCGTTCGACTGTATCGATCTCACTTTAGATAAAAAAGTTGTCACCTTGGAGGTAAGTTACATGAATGTATTGCTCTCTGCATAGCCGTAAAGTGAACCTTTAAATTTCATCATTATATTTGGAAGCTTTTAACCACAATCGGTCTAACTACATCAGGTGTTGCCACTTCTTTGTTCAAGATTTACTTTTTATACAAAGAACCAAGCAACGCTCGACTGAGAAACTTCCCAAGTTTACTCTTTATTGAGTAAGTTTTGTTTAAATTGATCAGCACGCATTGATTTTTTTATAGATAAAACTTTTATTCTCTGATTTTATTGTAGAATTTTCCTCTTTTATTTTCTAATAATCCATAGCCATCTCAGGCTTGCATCCATCATTAGGTTTTTATAAACAAATAATATATGTGTAATTACGGACTGTTGTCATGAGCCTGGTATCTTCTGTACATGGGCGCATTTCTACCGTATTCATACCGCATATATTCCTTATAAGTTGAAGCAAATTCCCAGAAAGTTTCAGAGCACAATGTGTTATATTTCTCGGCCAATGAAAGAAAACATGAGAAGAAATTAGGCAACCTTAAAATGCAGTTATGCTGATTCTGTTTAAGTCGGTCCATTTAGTCAACCGAATAATTTCTGTATACATAAACCAAAACGGTCGAAGGTTTTTATCTGATGTATCGTTTTTTATTTCCCTAAAATTGACCTAATTTTCGTTTTTGCAACAATCCTCACCCAGATACTTTTACATCTGTGAATCTTTGTTTCCATCCGCTACCAAGCTTATAGTTGCAAATGCTAATGTGAATTTTCTTTCCGGCTTTTAAAGAAGCTCAAAAGCACCAATGTATCTAATTTTGCTATCATTAAATTTCTGATTTGGGCTGGAGGAGTTGCTATTATTTTTACATTGCACTCTCTGAATTGTATTTTAAATTTTCACCAAGATTAAATTAATCAAGTTCAATGTTTGTTTTTCTTTCCTTAGTGGGTGGCTTCTCCTGTCAATGATATGTTTGCTGATGCAGCACTGGCGGCTGTACTCCAAGCCGAGCAGTGTGGTGCATCTCTTGCATCAAAATCTCTACCCTCTCAACCTATGAAAATGGACCGCATGCATTTTAAGGCAAGTTTAAGACTTGATGCCTCAAAGTTTTCATTGTTAGAATCTGCGGAGTAACAATGATAAAAATTATTGTTTGCGCCTCTTCAATAAACACAAACAAAAACCATGAAATACTTGATGATATACTCTTTCCCCGAAGAAGTTACCCTGAATATCCTTCTTCATTGCAAGGTTTATTTTTAACAGCTGTCTAAATGTTGTATTTAAGTGATTATATCTAAGGTTCATCGGATATTAGAAGTTTTTAAAGAATTTACACTGACGTTTCATTCGATGAATTCAAGTGAAACGTTGTTTTAAGTGACCATCAGATTATCTGAATCCTCTGACTGCCACATTAATTTCTATTATCCGGTATATAATGTAGTTACATGTCTATAACTTTCATTAAGAGTTAAATCAAAGATTTTAGTTTCACTTCTTAATGTGTTCAAATTTTTTCATCGACTTTTCACTTTTTACTTTTAGGAATGTTTGATTGAAATGCTGCAAGAAATGTTTGGTGAAGACTCTGTACCAAAAATATTCAAGGGAGAAAAGTTGTTTGTAACTGTTGATGGAAAGAAAGCCAATATAGATTTAACTGATCTAGTAAGTGGTTTTTAATTATGCAATTTATTTCATGTTAAAATTTGTTTTTATGGGTTTTTGGAGTCTTTTTGACACCTTGCCGAGCGGAGTTTCTGGGATCCCTCACTTATAGTCACAAATCGCGAGACAGAACAAGCACTATGATTGGCCAGTGTTTGAAGGATGTAGATCTTTTACATATGACCGAGGGTCGGAAATTGAGAATTGCGCTAAAATAATTGATTTCATTGATCTATATGAAATTTGTTTCTCAAGTTTGTTACTAAGATTATTGACTTTGGCAGGGAAGCGACTTTTTAGACCGATAGTGAGTTTAGCAGGGAGGCACCAAGTTATTACCATTTTCTTACCAGCACCCGTTCGTATACAGTAGTCAGTGGTAGATTCAAATATTTTCTCTGATACTCAAAAATTTGGTTCCTCTCTGATTCGCTTGATTCATTTGTACAATATTCTTTTTGAGATAATTTATTCTTCTCTGCTTATTAGAGGAAAAGCTTGAAGAAAGCTCAGTCTGTCTTCTGTTGGTAGCAGAATATTACAATTAATGATCTGAAATTTTCTCTTGCGGAAGTATCAAGCACAAAGGCTTGTAAACTTTGCCTTTTTGAAAAATGGCATTTCACAGTTTGTTTAATTTTTCAGGAGGGAGATGTTTGAAGAGGACATGATTATATCATGGTCCGCGTGGCTTTGAAAAGTGCTTGAAAAAATGCTTAATCTTGAATTTTCTTGAAACCATGATTTTTTTTGTAGTGCTTGAATTTTACTCTTTGCTGATTGTCAGCTTTAAGTGCTCATTGTGTGCACAGTGTTATTAACTGTAAAAGGAAAAAGAAGAAAAACCAGACAAAACCCTCATGATTTCAAAATCACGACTGGGGCAAATAACCCTGTTTTGAGGAAAAAATTTCCAGAAATGTCTTGAAAAGTGCTCGTAATTATTTTAGAAAGTGCCTGAAAAGTGGTTGACTTCTAATTTTTGATAATAGAATTTATATTTCACAATCCCATCTTCCCTGGATAACATTTTATATTTTTTCATTACCTTTTCGCTAAATTATGCTTCTCATATGTACATGTTTCCCATTTGTTTGAGCAGTCAGTATTATGTGAGGAAGATGAAGCTCTTTCGCAGATGATCAAGTCAGCTGTGACGAAACTACACCATGCTTTGTCATCAGTCAAAACGGAATAGGAAGGAGATTGCTTTGAAAAACACATTACTGGGACAATTTAATTGAAGAAAAAGTGCTTTCCTTGACCGGAGGTACCAACTTGAGATTGTGTCATGCAATGGCAGATATCTTACCAACATTTCGAGTGGAAAACTATTCTGAGCAAGTTTGATGTCTCCTAATTATGCCTGGTCACCTAGAATTAAATCGATGGGCATTATCTCTACAGAGAAAGGGGATACCTGGGTAGCATTTAGCAGAAAGAAAATAAATCTGTAGCCGTGTTTTCAAAAACGCCCCCAAGTTTGAACAATTTTTATTTTTTCACCAAAAAATTGTTAGTCTTAAGGAGGCCAATCCTTTAAGTTTTATCATTGTGCAATTACATGCATTAAATTATCTTTACATAATGAACACGTTTGAAAAAACCGCAACGGACTTAGTGCCTTTCTGCTGAATGCTATCCATCTGAGCTCAGTTCAACTCTCCTTCTCTAATCCTTAAAGCTGTATTCAGCGCGGAAGGAGTCTGCGTAATATTTAAGCATGCTTTATTTAAGTACTAGTTTTCAGTCTGATGTTTATTTTGTCTGACAATGAGTGCATTTTGACTTTCTCTCAATTGTATGTAAATTGTATTTGTTTTTATTGATCCGTGTAGCTGGATGTTATTTGGCCCCAGCTTATTGTACAGCTTGTAATTGTTTTAGAAATAAAGATAGATACATACTGAGAAAAATAATCTACTTATTTTTTAAAAAAAAAGAAGCAGTCTCTTGAGCCCGTGAGATTTAGAGGTATACAAGGTCGGATCTCTCAAAATTTTTTTCGAGCGTAGCGATGCATCTGAAGGTTTGTCAAATTTGATCAGATTTGAGCCTTTGAGATTCCGTGATATTTCAAAAAATAAGAAATGTTTCATCCATGTTCAGGCATTGCATGTTGTCAGTTTTCTCTCTGTTACTTTGCGAGGACATTTGCTCCCAGCTCAGGTTCGAGCGCTAAACCTTGAAGGATAGGGGGTAGGAAGTAATCCTAAAATGAAGGTTCTTAACCTTCAAATATTCATAGTATTTCCATAATATAAATTTTTCTGGTAAATTTACGTAAGCCTCAAAAAAAGTCGACTTGTTTTACACTTTTTCAAGGTCATAGTTATTTTTTTGGATTCAAGGCAGAAATAAAAGACAGATAGATGGGATACTCAACTTTATGATTGAACATGCCAAGTTAAAAAACAGAGAGATAAAATACAAATACAGTTATTCTCGGGTTGAAATCGGTGAAAAATAAATAATTATGTACAGCAACAATGGATGAATGATAAAAATACGATTTTGATTTGCCTGGAGAAAACAGCAAATTTTGAATAGACTGATTTAGTGGCTATGTTATTCCATGTGCGTCCCTGTTTGATGATTCCAATGAACTATGTAAATACTCTTTAATCGCAAATCCCTGTGACTCTTCAATAGACACGTAACCTCATAACCTCAAGTTATGTTCTATTACTGTGGTTGATACGTCGAATATTGCAAAATTGATGTAGCCACTAAATCAGTCTTTTGGGAAAGTTGACTGAATTTATTTAAGTTTGATAGTAAGAAACAATTTTTGAGCTGACGGTTCAGCAGACAAAGGAAGGTTTCCTTTGGTGGATTGACAGCATCCGGGACTTTCCAAGTTGCAAAACTTACAGGGCATTTAAAATTAAGATGGTGAACTTATGTAAACCTAGATGAAATTGCTGGCCAATTAAAATCCTGGGTACCTAATATAATAACTAAAATTATGGTGCTAATTATACATAATCAGATAATGTTACTAAAATTCTAAAATACATTTTTTTATTTTTTAGTTCCACAGGCATAGGACTTTTCAAAAGATGATTAATACTATGCCCTATGGAAAGCATTGATAGCCAGTTTGACTAAATTGATTCACGAGTTTTTATGTTCCTGTCTTTCACCATTAGTTGGTGATAGTTGATATGCACCTCTCGTTTAGAACCCTCTGCGAAAATCGTAAAACTGTAAATCTAATTAAAAACAAAGATGATACACATCTTGAATTAAAATGGAATGTAATGCAGCTCTAAAAATAGTAATTTGGAGCACAAATACATTGACTGTAAAACTTTGAAACTCAAACCTGTTTTCAGGGAAGTCAAGCAAAAATTTTTAGAATTAATTTGACTCTTAGCTTCTCATCATTTTTAACTGTTCTGCTTTTTCTATGAGAGACGAATGGTACTTTTGTTTACAATCACTAGAAGATTATCATCCTGGCAATCCTTCAAACTTTCCTCGAACATGTCCGGTGTGATGCGGAAGCTAGCACTGTCCTTTAGCTCCTTGAAGAGCTTCTGGGAATTGAGCGTTGCGCTTTTCGGCTTTCCTGACAACAGTTTCTTAAGCAGCTGCGTTGTCTCCGTACGCCGTTCGCGGGCAGACATACTGTATCCTGTCGTAATGATGCCGATATCAATCTTCCCTGTTGCTGGATCGACAGCCGATTGTTTCAGCGCTTCACGATGGAGTCGGTATGCCTCTTGCACATCTTCCACCTCCACTTTTTGAGAAAACCTGAAAAAAAAGTTCAATGCTTACTAAAATGGTCATTAAATCCTTGTTGCTATTCATAAAAATTAAATGCCTAAAATGGATGAGATGTAACCCTTCGTTTATCCGATGAAAAAAATACGATCGTTTGCAGGGAAATACATCTCAAGAGATAAAGACAAATTTTTTAGGAGAGGGAGTGTATTAAAATTACGTTGAAATCAGGATTTGACTTTCTAGCAGAGAACACTCTCTGGTGTCCACAACAGTGCGTTGCTAATAGTTTGGCTTACTGTCAGACTAACAGAGAGTCAATGATACCCGACTTAGACTGACACATTCTAAATGGATAACTTAGTATACTTTCAAACTAAATTTATTGCAGAATACTTCTGAAATAGAACTATCAATAGCAGAAGCAAGGGAGATGTTCATGCTAAAATCTCACTGTTGTGCAATTCTGAAATTCATTATTTCTCCTTTGACATACGTATAAGGTATACAGTTAAATCAAAATTTTACTGAACTAACCTCATCTTGGCGTGAGCTTCAGATAAACGAATGAGTGACTCGAGTTGTCTTGGGTAGGCCGATACCTGGCCTTTGCCACTGCCGACTGCGCGCATATCAACATACGTTTGGACCAGTGATTGTGATGCTTCTTCTGTCAACTGTGGACGAATATTTTCCTTTGCGTATGCTAGGTAATCGCGCAAAATTGTCCGATCCAGCATTTCATCTTCTTCCTCTTCTTGAGAGCGGTAGTACAATGACACCAAATGGCGTGCCAGCTTTCGGTCGAACACATCACTCTGCGGGTCCAGGAGTAGAAAGATGAGATCGAACCTGGACAAGAGTGTGTGTGGAAGCTGAATGTTTTCGATGATGGTTTTGTTGGTGTTCCATTGCGATTCACACGGGTTGGCAGCTGCCAGTACCGAAGTTCGAGCGTTCAACTGACAGATAATGCCAGCCTTTGCTATACTCAACGTTTGCTGTTCCATCACCTCGTGGAGAACACTGCGAGTTGAGTCGTCCATTTTGTCGAACTCATCAATGCAACAGATTCCGTTATCAGCCAGGACCAAAGCTCCTCTGGAAAATTAAATTCAAACACCAGAGTAAATCACACGTCTCTTAGGATACAGGGTTGCCATAATTTCTTTACCTTCAAATTCCCTGTATTTCCCTGACTATTTCTGCTTTTCCCTAACTCCAAAATTGTTCAAGCCCCTGACCTTAAAACAAAATTTCCACCTCTTTTGTTTAAATCTTAAAAAACACTATTTTATGCTAAATTTCGGATAAAATTGCCTTGTTTAAAGACCAAATGATAGACAAAGGCATTCAGTAGCAAGTATACGCATGAGAAGCCTTAAAAATGGCCAGAAGAGTAAACAGTTGGATAATCAGTGATATTTTAGTGATCGGTAGGTGTTTCAGAAATTCCCTGATTTTCTCGGTTTCCTTGACTGCAATCAACCCTGGATAAGTATATATCCTTTTCTGAAGGATTATTATTATTATTGTTTTTTTTAAAAATAAATATGCTCATTCCAAATAGTAAAACTGAAAAACTCGTAAGTTCAAACTAGTCAATTTATAGCAACTTGATACCTGATTTCATGTGCACATTCATTTCTGAAATATTATCAAATGAGCACTTACGTTTGAAGGACAAGTTGCCTGCTTTCGGGGTCCCTGGTGACGTAAGCTGTCAGACCAACAGCTGAGGATCCTTTGCCACTTGTGTATTGACTCCGAGGCACCAAGTTATAGACGTAAGACAGTAATTGCGATTTACTCGTTCCAGGGTCTCCACAAAGTAAAATATTGATTTCAGCTCTGGAAACAAAAATTTATGATTGAGAATAACGTAGTAAGAATAGCCACTGATTGTGATATAATTAATTTTTAAAACGATTAACATTCTACCTTGTGATTAGCCTGTAGTTTTGATTCGAAACAGATCATACAGACTTAGTGGGTATGCAGTACCGGTCACAGGTAATCAAAACTTATCACATACTGAAAGTACAACAAAGAATTACTTAACTTTTGAAATTTGGAGCCAGAAGTAAGAAAAAAATGACCGAAAGTTAATAAAAAGAAGAGAAATACCACTTACAATTCATGCAAAAATTCCGTATAAAATTAGATCATAATTTAAATGCAGACTAACTTAATTGTTACGTAAACGATACGGTACACAATCTACTGAAAATTAATTAATTTGAATCTTGAAATTAAGTTTTAGGTTAGAAAAATAAAACAATTTAAATTCACCTGAAATGGCCTCGTCCTTCAGATGAGAAGTTTTTCTTGGTTCCACCAAAAAGCTGAAGGAGGATTCCTTTTTTGATATCTTCGTTGCCAAAGATGGATGGTGCAATTGCTCGAGATAATCTATCGTAGACATCAGCCTTTTCCGAAAGTGACTTCAGCAACTCAATTCTTTCTGGCGTTAGGCGTAAACTTGTCCTAGTACAAAAAAATTTTAACATTGAAAAGAGTTACGATAGAAAAGTCCAATTAGTTAATTTACCAAAATTTTCAAGAGTTTGACTGATTAAATGATTTACCTGGGTTGATTTTTTCTTCTTCATTCTTACATTAATGATTACAGATATCATACAAAAATATAATAAGATGAAATGGACGTATTTCTGCCAAACGGAACTATGTGCATTAAGACATGAGCCCTGAGACCCATGAGAATATATGCATAACAGGGCTCACGTCCTAATGCACATAGTTCCGTTTGGCAGAAATACGTCCAAATATTGAATCAGATACTTCTCTTTTTAAAAGTAAAGATACAGTGAAAAATTTTACGCAGCAAATCCAGTCCTCACCGATAGTTTCCAAAACTGGAACTGGCCTCACACCATTTCTAAGGCACTAGCATAACAGGAAATGAGCAATTTTTAAAAGTGCTGAAAAACAAACCATTGCCTAAAAAGCAACTGAAAAATTCCTTCATCTCAACATGCGGTCAGTTTAAATGAGCTTGAAGCCAGTGATATTTCGACGGTGAAACTACCAAACCACGTATCTCGGTTTGCGACGTCGCAGACTTCCTGTCATACTTTATTTTTTAAATGAAAAACTACTTAACATCCAGTCTTGAAAATTTCTGTGATTTTTCCTCTTTGTGCGGAGAAAATTCCTTGAAAATTTCAAGGAATGATATTGATTTGGTCTACTTCAAAAAAATAAAATGTGAGCGTATATTTTTAAACACCGCAAACAAGATACGTGGTTTGGTAGTTTCACCGTCGATTTACTCTCCAAGTCCTCTTTAAGGCCGCATACTTCATCTTCATTTGTGACTATTCACAGGAAAAGCGACCTTAGTACCAACAAACCCAAAGCTGAGACAACTGATTAGCAGGGATTACTGGACATTCTAGGGGCATTAATATAACACACCCTAAAAGATCAATCCAAATACATGCAACCTCCGATTTGACTGAGGGACTTCGACTGTGATGGGAAAAAAAAATTATTCTTGCATTTGAAATGCCTCATACACCCAAGGTAAAAGAAACGAAGGTATGCTCTTCCCGACCCCTCCGGCCAGGACTTGGCTTGCGGCTTCCGCCACTAGAGATGTGGCGCAAAGTTTGAATTTCAACAATTTCAACGACCAAAAACAAATATAACCGTCTGCTGTTGATTAAAACGAATAAGTTCAATTCAAGCAAATTCTTTAAAAATGAGCATTCATTTGCTTTTAGTATTTTGGCTGTTTTTTTTTTTTCCATTTTTATCGACAGCAGGTGGTCATATTTGTTTTTGGCCAAAACTGCAAAATTGTTGAAATTTAAACTTCCCGCCACAACTCTAGTGGCAGGAGCCAAAAGCTGAGCTCCAGCCAAAAAGATCAGGAAGAGCATATGTACCTTCGTTTGACTTACCTTGTCATACCCCGTCAAATTTAAAGTAAAAAAACTTAAATTCTATTGAAAAAGCTCCTGAAGTGATGAGATCTATACCTGTCTGTCATATAAGGAACTTACCCTTCTTGTTCATAGAGTCGCTTGTTGTCTATTTTCCTGAAGTGGACTACATCGATGTATGTCTTGTAGATAGCACGCACACTACTCATGCGTGGGTTCACTTTGATAGGAATAGCGCGGTAAATACCAGTGACGTAAACTCTGTCTCCGGGTAGAACAGCATCCACCAGATCGTTATGGGCATAAAGAACAATTGTGTGTGGAGTCTGTCCGGCAGGCATGTCATCTAACAAACAAACAAAAAAATTTCTCAGTCCATAAAAAAATTTAAGGCTGTGTAAAGCCAGTTTCCTCAATTAAAGCCAATTTCGAGTTTTTAATTTATCTGTTCTTTTTTTTAATTTTTCGAGTAGAGTTTGTCAGACTTTTTGAACTTTACTCTCGAGTCTAGTCAGTCGAGTAAATTTTCTTCTTTTGTGTTAGTGTGATACCAGATATGCCTTCTGGTTCCAACTCTGCTCATCAGCGCAGTCTCACTTCATTGAGGCATTCTTGCCTTGGAAAAATCGAAAAATCTATGAAAATTGGCACTTTGAAGCAAATTGCGTGTTTGCTAATGCCTCCACTTGACCTTCTAGTTGAGCGGACTTTGCAGTACTCTGTTTGATTCGGTTTAAAAGTTACAGTAAACACACAGCCCTGAAAAAAAACAACACACATAAATGGCATGTTCCTCATTGAATACTGCGTCATTTTAGGAGACTTTGAAACATGTAGCGCTCTTTGGCTAGAAGTTTGGATCATAAACTTGGACCTTTGTAGTCATACTTTGTTTTTTGTTAGGACTTTTCAGTTTTTCAATTAGTGTTGTAAAAGACTTTCTTTATTGGGCATTTTGCAAAACAATTAAAAGGATTTCATCAGTGCACAGTTAGAATTCTCAATCCAACTAAATTAAATAAACTAAGAAGTTTTTTTCGAGATAACGACGATTATTGCCATAGAAGGAAAGTATGGAGCGCTAATTTTGACTTTGTTCTGGAGATAAAAAACCATGGTAGCCACTACCAGTAAAAATTAAGTTGTACTAATAAGGCACTAAAACATCCTACATTTTAATATTTCATCAAAAACTTTTGTCCCTGTTTCTGTAGTTTCTCCTCCTACTTAGTTGGGAATAATTGTGTGTTGTGCTGACTCGTCACCCTCCCACTTAAGACCACAAGGCACAGTGAAATTCCTAAATTCTATTATTTTTTGAATGTCTGAATAAACGTGCGAATAATAACTGGTAAGAAGTTGAAATGCTGAGATTACCAGGTGATTCTTGAAGTTTGACCATTTGTTTATCGGTAAATTGGGATCGGTTGTGGATGAGACCAAAGCAATGGTTCGTGTTACAGTTGGTACAAAGAGTCGGCTCAGCGATTCGACCACGGTCGATTTCAACACTGGTCGTGAAATCACATGCCATGCACTTGAAAAACGCCTCTCGCATTTCGGGGATTGTGTTGCTGGTTCGAATAACCATTCCGGTCAGTGTGATTAGCTGGTCTACGTCTGTTAAAACAAAATCACACACGAGCTATGAAAAGAGTTGCTCTTGATAGTTGTTACAAATAAATATTTATTTACTTTATACTACTACATGTTATATATTGTATATATGTTGCTATGCTATACTTGCTATATTGTACTGTATTTGAAGGACAATTGTCTCTTCAGTGTGCCTCTCATAACAATCGTTATTCCACATATTGACAATCATCATTCCTAATATTGACAACAGTCATTCCTAATATTGACAATTGTCATTCTTAATATTGATAATAGTCTCTTCCACCTGCTTTTAGTGGCAATTTTCATTCTGCTCTTCTTGAAGACAATCATTATTCATACTGGACTTCCATGACGATCGTCTCTACTATCTTTGTAAAACGATTGTCGTTCTTAACGTAAACAAATGACAATAGCCTCCAACAGTACACAGCGGAAATGATTGTTATATGAGGTTCTTCCGTCAATAAATCGTCTTTGTAAATGTAAAACATTGACAATAATTCCCATTGCTCTACAACAGAATATAAATAGAAAAGAAATGATAAACGCAAATAATTATGAATATAAATATTTTTTGAGAAACTAGAGAAGGATACCACCAGAGATGCTGTACTTACACGAAAAATGAGCTTGAATCATAAAAATGATTTTTTATTTATTTATATTTAATTATTTTTTAAAAATCTGTGTGTTCAAGAGGACCTATTTTTAGAAAAAAAAGGGAATTTACCTTCAGGATTGAGAGACCTCATGTTCTTGGTCATGTGGGTGTTGAACGGCCTGATTTGGATTTGATGGCTGAGAACAGCTGCCGGATGTTTCTCAAAGAACATTTCATTGATGGCCATATCTAGAATTGGGATTACTTCTTGTGGGTAGCAGATTAGTTGACGAGCAAGTGTTGCATCAAAGGACTCCAAATGCGCACAGTTCAAATTCAAAAATGGGTCTTCTAGGAAATTGACCTGGAATAGAAAAATGTATTGACGTTAGGGATTTACTAAATAGGCCTTCCCAATGATTAAAAATGCAGCCTTTTGATAGATTTTTGGGCTCCAGATTGATGCCTGTCTGAGCTTGAACAGTCGGGGAAAGGTGCATCTTCAATGGGATACTAAAATGGATATGATGATGGTGCAGATTCATCCTGAAAAGCATTGAAACATGAAAATACAAGTATTATCTAAATAATGACTATATGAGTCTTTTAAGTGCCAAGAATGGATGTTCATTTTGGGTGTGTACGGGAAATTTTTTGGTTAATTAGTTTGCACTGCGAGAGCGAGATCTCTTGGTATTCATCAAGATTTCACAATACACTTTAGTTATTCATCAGCCGTAAAGAGGGCGAAAGTCCAAAAGAGTCACCTGGAACATGAACTCTAACATCCAATCACGTTCATTCATCAATCAGAAGTGAGCCGTTTAAAAACATTGCAATTAGTACTAGCAGTTCAGTAAAAACCTGATGAAAATCCTACTTTCTGGTTTATAGTGAGCTCTTACGGTTATAAGCAGTTTTGACTAAGATTTTCCTTTGGTACCCAATGGCAAATAAATTTACAGGTTTTCAACCGTGCACCATAGTCAAAATTACACCTCAAATCAAGGCACATCATAACCCCTCCAGAAAAACCCTGCTATTTCAGACTTTAACTGACTGCACTGGATAAAACCAGTTTTAACAAATTATTCATATCATAACCCTTTTCAGGTTTAGACTCTCACATAAATAGAGACAAATATTGTATGAAATTTCAATTCACCACAAGTTTTCTTCATAATCAGTTCAACTATGTTACTGTGAGGATCTGGCAACCAGCTAATTATATAATTTTAGGCATTCAGAGAAAAAGTTTCACATGCAACATTTTGCACCAGAAATCCTCAAACCTCCATAACTAAGGTTTGTACAACAGTATGCATTTAGGACATATAAATAGAATGAAACAAAAAATAAAACACCTCTTCTAATTTCTGAATGTAGAGTGGTTGCGAATCATCCATGTTTTCCAATCGCTCATCTTGATCCGTGTTGGGCTCGATGAACGTTTCAACGAAGAGCTTGAAGCGCTCCTTGCAACGGCTCACGCTTACATCTGTGCCCCAAATCACCAAACCAGGCTCTTGCGCGGCATCTGGCTCTGAACTTGGCTGACTCGACGCCTCTCGTGGTTCACCCTTTGTGGCAGAAAAAAAGAAGTTTCATTGGCAAAGGATGATAAATATTGACTAATTTTTATTTCAATTCACATATGTTCTGTTGATGGACAGAGAAAAAAAAAGGTTCTCAAGTTTTGAGAATTTTGGAATTTTGACATAGGTGGTAGCATACATTTTATTCATGGACTTTCTGGAAAATGGTGTGGTTCATGAAAAGAAGTTATACTTCAGAAATTGCTAAACATGATACTCTCTGTTGAATTGTGCCAGCAGCCCGATTGTTGAAATTTATGTCGGCACGTCAAGAATCGAAAATCGATATATTACACGGCGCGGATAGGGCTATGTCTTGTCTTATCGTGCCGATATAGCCAGTTAAAGTTTCAACAATCCGGCTGCAAATCAATTGACATTAAGGTTCGTATTCTATACTTCGACCATTGTACTTCGCAGGAATATTGAGGCTACATTGAACATACCCGCAACATGGTGTAAACAACTCGGGAAATGCCACCACCTTTTTTTTTTCTTCATGCTCAAGTATAATTGTAATTACCTCATACCAAGCTTACAAAATAGCAAATAAAACCAGCATTTGAGAAGAGCTTCACAAAACAATATGGACTGCAACTTACTTTTGAATCAAAATTTGGTCTGGTGGTTCAGGTATAAAACCTTCTGACAAAATCTTTATTAAAAGTATTTAACACTACTCTGAGCTCAATGGTTAGATTTTGAATGTTACAGAGTTTTCAGTAATGACCTTACTTTAATCGATTCATTTCAAGGCTTCAAATGAGAAAATCAATCATGATGAAAAAATGTTCAACAATATAGGTATAAGGCAGATGATAAACAAATCAGAACAAGTTTAATTTTATGAATGCAGGACTTACCGATCCTGGAGGTTGAATGTTGATCTGCCTCATTCTCTTATCTGTTCTGATATCGGGTCTAAGTCGAATAGGTGTGCCTCGAACTCCAGATCTTGGTGTCCTGATAGATCCCATTGAGCTGGGTGTTCCATAATTGAGAGGTGAGCTCAGATCAATTTCGCTCATCCCACCAACTTCAAAACATTAAAAAGAGATCATTAAATAAAAATGCAAAAGTAGAGAGGCTGTTATGTTTTAATATATTTTAAAATCTATGTTGCCTCAAGGTTCAAAAACAAACAGTGAAAATCTTGTTGCATAGGTAAATCAAAGGAGATATGTGATGTACATTTTTAGTACCAGATTTTTTTCTTGATGCTTTTTTACAATGTATTAACTTATGGTTGTAATCATGAAAGCTTTCCTTTCTGGTCCACAATTAATATTCATGGGAAAGGCAGAATTCTTTGATCTTTCAAGGCTTCAGCAAAAATGATTATAATGAGGAAAGTTCAAAGCTTGAATTACTCTAACATATTAAACTGGGATGGATTCAAAAAGTGGAAATATTCGATGATAAAAAAAAATATGTTAGGAGCACAGCTTGCCGCTGAAACACTACAGGGTGACCAGAGCGCATAAAATGGAACTGAAAATACAGGCCTTACCATAGCCGAGAGGGCTGGAGGCTCTGTCGCGAACAGCAGGAGATGAGGACGGCGGATTACTATCTGAGGCATCAATTACCATTCCACCTCCATTAGGCTGCCTTTGAGCCCTTTGTGGGGTGAACGCAGAGCTATCCGAGCGGGAACTGCGTGATCCTGGTCGGCCAGAACCAGGGACATTTTTACCAGGGGTTTTTGATGGAGTGGCAAACCTTCCTGGGGTTCTAAAACGAAATAGACAAAAAACAACGCAATTAATTAAATTGGATTGATAAGAAAATCTTGCAGAAAGAAACGTCACTTAAAAACTTTAACATACTAAATTGGTAATATCATAAAACATTTATAAAGCAACGTTTCTTAGTTTCCAGAACACCCGTTATTGAGTACTAACAAAACTTTTAACACATAGGACATCTGATCACATCCTCAACTATTCTAGAAAAAAATAGATTTTCAATAAAAAAAAATGTGTCCCTCTGTGACATGGCAACTGCATTCTTTGTTTGGACAGATGTATTGGAACAAATGAGATTATTCTGTCATTGTTGCTCCACTTGATGCTTGAATATAAAACTGAGTCTGAAGTCCACCAACCAAATTTTTTTTTTTTTTTTTACTTCAAACAGCCCTCAAGGGCTAATCCTATTCAATTCCAGCCTACCTTCCTTAGTTGCCCTAACCTATTATATACTCCAAATTCCTTCCATCTGTAACACTTGGGCAACAACTCTCCATCACCCCTATTAGTTTCCTGAAACCTAATCATTTCCCTAACTACCATTTTCTTGAAACCAATAAGTTTACATGCTGTTAGAGTGCGATAGGAGGTCTACCTTTTTGAATTCTGTACTTATTAACTCTCAATGCTAAACTGAGGAGGGCTAATTTTCTGTCACACTCTGAAATTGAGTGAATTATCAAGCATGGATTCTTACTTATGCTCAAGTCAATTATTTCTATCAATGTCTGGAGATAAAATCACTACACTTCAGACACTAAAATTATCCAATGGTATATTTTCCTCCATCAGGAAAGCCATTGACGATGGATGGTTAATTTAATACATAATAATAATAAATATAGGGCCTTACCCTCTGGGTGTTCCAGTGCTAGGACCTGCTCTGGCAGGAGTTGCTCTGGCGGGTTGTCTTGGTGTACGAGGAGTGCGTGGAGTTCTTGGCTCTTCTTCCACATTTCGTTGCTGACGAGGCGTGCGAGGAGTGCGTGGTGTTCGAGGGGCTTCCTCGGCAGGTTCCTGCCTGCGTGGTGTTCGAGAGCCCGGCCTTGCTGGACTTGACATGATGAGTTGATCTTTCTTGAATTAACCTGTCAACATTTCAGAACAGTCGTCAGTGCTGACACTGTATATCTAATAGACAGTTCGATGGCAAATGATGATCAACAAATAATTAACAGCTGTAGCAAGATGATTTGGCATTTTGGCCATCCATAACTATCACTGAGCAGCGATAAGCCCAAGTTGATTTCATACATTATAATGTCCATTTGGCCAGTTTTGGACATTTGACTGAAGATTCAAGGAGCGCTTGAAAGAGGGTGACTACTGTAATTGATTACTTAAATAAATATCACACAACTGGGGTGCCAGAGGGTTACTGATGCAAATCTCACAAGCAAGACGCATCTCTGCTCATCGACCACTATCTCTGCAAATCCTAGAACATGAAGGGATAGAGATCACAATGTGAAAAGTCTTTCTCAGTGAAACATTTTTCCCTTGGTGGACCGATAGTTACCCCAAGACATTATCTTGGTCTTTAATGTAGATCTAGCTGGGTATGCTTGTAATATAACAATGTAATGCTTGTTGATCAACAATGTAAATCTTGTTGATCAGCGATGAAATGCTTGTTGATCGACAATGTAATGATCGTTGATCGTCAATGTATTTATTGTTGATCGACAATGAAATGCTTGTTTATAGACAATGAAATGCTTGTTGATCGACAATGTAATGCTAGTAGATCTGGTTGGGTGTGCTTGGTTGGTCAAGTATTTTGATGAGAGGTACATAATATATTCCTTGCAGTGCTAGTGATTTATTCCTTTTAATATACGTATAAATAAATTCTCTGCATCAGTGCATAAATACAATTAATATAAATAATATTGGAAAAACTCACGGTATGTAATGTGACAGAATGGATCAGTAACAAGGAGAATAGAGGTTAGAGAAACACAAATAATTTGAGTGCTCCTATGACGGTAGAATGAGTTCGGAGGAAAAATTGTTTTAAGACCAAGCACAGTTTTCCATTTAATCACCTAGTTAATCGGAAATTTCGGGAAAAACAGCAAAAAACATGTGAAACAGAAAATCAAGAAATGAGGCCCACTGATAATAGGGGTGACCACCTGTGGCAAAACAAAGCACCGCCAAATCGATTTTGGCGGGAACCAGGCCATTTTTTGTTACAACATCAAATCAACACTCATCAAGAGTTTCATTGGATAATTTTTATTGGCGCAAATTTCAAAATGAGAGTATTTAGTGTAATAATGATGGCTCTGTGAAATAATAATTTTCATGATACTCTTGCAATAAAATGTTATGGTTTGAGTCTGAATGCACACATTGGATGACTTTTAAACTTTTTAAAATGGTTAAAAAATTGACCATAAAGCTTGGTAGCGGTCATCTTCAATATCTTCAACTCGACAAGTCGTATGTCCTGCACTCCTCCTGCCTTTCCCCCTCCCATGGTAGAAGTTGGGGTGTATGGTGGGGGTTGAAGAGCAGATCTTGTTTGGCTCTCTCTGTCTCTTTCCCTCCCCCTACTTCGTCCATTATTTTGCATGTTATCTTTCCTTATCTTTCTTTTTTCAGTTTCCAATATTGTGACGTGATACGAATTGGGCTTTCAACAGCTGCTGTCATTTATAATTTTATACTTTTCGTGTGCCACTAATTTTCTAATTTTACTTTTACAAAATGTTGGATTTATTTACCATTTTCAGCAAGGGTGGAATAGTGTTGTGGTGCTTTCAAGGGACCAGTCAAATATTCTCACCCTCAGTCAACGCATTGATAAAAACTGTTATATTGCAGGTAACTTCGCTTTCTTATTTTGTCACATGCATGACTGTCTCTCGAAGAATATTGTACTGTAAGCATTACTCCATCATCATGCCATGATCACTTCATGTGGTAGAGTGGCCTTTCATATGATCGCCATGCGATGATGCTGTAAAAACAGGGCTGCGGTTAGAATCAGAGCTGCTACTGCAAAATTGTCGTACCCAGTTTCTTACTTGCCTGGAAAGAAGCATGTATTGGTAGATTGTTGAGATACTTCTGTTTTCCAGTTATTGAGGTTAAGTTCCTGAACGGCCCATACGCTCAATTATGGCCTTGTTTACTCAGCTTTAGCTGCAATCCCATAGACGCGGCGGCATCATAATAGAGATTCTTCATTATATCGAATTGGATCCAAACAATAACATTGGCATAACCTCTTTCAATGTTACTAATGCGAAAAAATCTATATATATGGCTTTTCTGTGACAGGGCACTAATAGCGTCTATTTGCAAGAGCAAGTCATGTGAATTAAATCACTTAACAGTCTGTACAAACATTGCTTTTCTGGGCCACATGACTGCTGCTTTGTTTATACCTAAGTATAAACATCTGTTGAACTTGTTCATCAATTCTAAGGCAACCTTTTGTTCAGTCAGCAGTTATTGTCTGTACTTTAACTGAATTAAGCATTGACCCATTCATGATTGGGTAAGGTGAATTTAGTATGTATACTTACATTTGGTCAGTCAGAATTACCAGGCAAAACAGATTTACTTGAAGAGAGCGTTTCAAAGAATGGAGACGATTTGCTGAAGTATCCAAGTGCAAATGCCGTTTTTTAAAACTACCTCTATTGATCAATGGGTTTTGCTTAATGCTCAATCAGCTGTCTATTGTTTCCAATAATACGGTCTTCCAAGACAGTGATACTGGCGTCGGTACATGATGCCCATCAGTCAGCCGCACAAATGGTCAGAAGTAATCAACTGCCAGCTTGTCTGATGCAAGTTGTAACAATTTTACATTTAGTCTGTACTTACAGCGTCAAGCCATGAATTCATCGACGGTGTAAGTCGGCAATCACATAACTCGGTTTGCGACTTCGCAGACTTCCTGTCATACTCTATTTTTTAAACGGGAAAATACTCACCGGCAATTCTTTAGAACTGCCGTGATTTTTCTTCTCTGTGCAAAGGAAATTCTGTCAAGACTCCAAGGAATGATGTCAATTTGTTTTTCCTTAATAATAACCTAGAGGCAGAGATTTTTAGACACCACAAACGAGATATGTGGACTTACGCCGTTGTCATCTAGCAAATTCTTGTGGAAGTACTTTCTCATTTCTCATTATTTTATTATTTCAGGAGCGAACCGGCAATAACAGTTATGATCACAATTCGTTGACCATAAAATACAAGCTTGACAATGAGTTTGAACTTGTGTTCGTCGCTGCTTACCAGAAAATCTTGCAGCTAATGTACATAGACAAATTCCTCGATGATGTTCACTTGCGCTTTAGAGATGCTTTCAAGAATGAGTTGTCGAAAGGAGCCATCTACCAGGTAAAGTTTGATCTTGATCTTTTACATCTTGATGAAACCAAAGTGGGCCCTTCACCCATTCAAATTATATTTGGACCGCACTGAGCAGAAAGGAAGCAAGCCACATCAGCAATTGCCAAATTTAATTGGGCATTTTAATTTTTACATGAAAACTATTGTGCAGATTTTTGGGCAAATCCCAGTGAATTTCCTGCATAGCGTGAAGCAAAGGACTACGTGCAAAACGGGCCATTTGGGGCTCGGGGCGGATACCTTTGAGATTTGCCCTATTCATTCACCTAACAATGCCCCATCTTTTCCCAAAGTTTCAAGCCCCCCAAAAATTTTGGGGAGACGCGGCGGGGGGTCAAAGTTCAAAACCGGCAAAATTTTCGCGAATTTATTACTCGAAAACCAAGAAGTTTTCGTAAACGCGGTTTAAACGAGCGTATTCAGCGTGACGAGAGCTTTCAGAAAATGTATAACATCATAGGGTTTTGTCAACTTCAGCTCGAGTTATCGCCTCCGAAGCGCCGGAACGCTCAAAAGAGACCCCTTATTTTTTCACGTTTGGGCCGATTTAAAAAAAAGCCATTTTTTTAATTTCATGAAAAACTGATATGTTGTTCCTGACTCTCTGTAGCCCCTCTAGCTCTTTACCGCATGCTGGGGAAATGTTTTGGTCGCGAGTTATAAGAGCGGAAAGGAGCGAAGGTCGGGAAAATCGGCTATTTTAAACTGCGCGCGGCGACGGATCAGGAGCCATGTGGCAACTATGCGAGGTCGGCAGAGGAGTGTGATTCACCGAAATGAGTGGGAGGGGACGTTTTCCCTCCGATCAACGCCGCGCGCGCAGTTTAAAATAGCCAATTTTCCCGACCTTCCCTCCTTTCTGCTCTTATAACTCGCGACCAAAACATTTCCCCAGCATGCGGTAAAGAGCTAGAGGGGCTACAGAGAGTCAGGAACAACATATCAGTTTTTCATGAAATTAAAAAAATGGCTTTTTTTTAAATCGGCCCAAACGTGAAAAAATAAGGGGTCTCTTTTGAGCGTTCCGGCGCTTCGGAGGCGATAACTTGAGCTGAAGTTGACAAAACCCTATGATGTTATACATTTTCTGAAAGCTCTCGTCACGCTGAATACGCTCGTTTAAACCGCGTTTACGAAAATTTCTTGGTTTTCGAGTAATAAATTCGCGAAAATTTTGCCGGTTTTGAACTTTGACCCCCCGCCGCGTCTCCCCAAAATTTTTGGGGGGCCTGAAACTTTGGGAAAAGATGGGGCATTGTTAGGTGAATGAATAGGGCAAGTCTCAAAGGTATCCGCCCCGAGCCCCAAATGACCCGTTTTGCACGTAGTCCTTTGTTAAAATTCTCAAAGGAATTCGCGCACACATTCTCTTGTAAATATTCAAATTGCCCAGTTAAATTTGACAATAGCTAATGTGGCTTCATTTCTTTCTGCTAAACGCAGTCCGTTTACCAGTTGTTGGGATTTCCCAATGGTCCCCCTTTCATTCAGAAGAAGGCCATCATGAAAGATAATTTTTTGGGCCCTGCTTAGCGTCAATCAGGAACAAGAGTTTGTAAGCACTTGCTGATCAATATGGACAGAGAAACTTCCAAACCACGTATCTCAGTTTGCGACCCTGCTGACTTCCCATCATACTTTATTTTTTAATCGGAAAACTACTCAATGGCAATTCTTAAAAACTGATGTGATCTTTCTTCTCTGTGCCAGAAAAGTTCTGTGAAAACTTCAAAGAATATAAGAGGTTAAACTAGAAATTTAGTCCACTGTTGATTTATTGCTACAAGAGTAGTAGAAACATAGTTTCGAGAAAAATGCAAGGTTCCTTTTTCAATGAAGACCACAATGTGCATTACAATCAAAAGAAATAGAATAATTTTTGGCTATGTGTTTAATTTTTGGTTATAGGCACCAATTTCATTGCGGATTATTTTGGTCCCTTATCAATGTTTGTATGCTTTCTTTAAAGGCATTTAATAACTTAGTAATTTTTTGGTTTGCAGAGTTTTCCTTTCGCGGACGGTTTCCAAGCAGTTTACAAAGCTGCCGAAGAATGGGGAAAATTGCAAGCCCGTGCGCAAAAGCCAATGCGATCTTACGAAGACTCTCTCAAGTCCAAAAAGACTGTCGGATCAATGGTTGAGCGAAAAGGAGATAACAAAGAAAACAAAAAGAAAGGTAATAAATTTGAGATTTTGGCTACAGTAGATGTTTTGATGGCTATTGAAAACTTTTCGGTAGTGGAAGGAAATTAGATGCTTCGCAGTGTAACAAAAAAGTTTAAACATTTTCTTTCAGTTTCGGTGTTTTTAAATTAAAATAGAATAAGTCAATCAAACTAGGAATCGTTGGAAAAAAAATGAAAGAGCAAGTCCAAAAAAGAAAAAAAAAAAAGAGAAAAAAATTATTGTGATTTTAACATTTTTTTCTTCCTCTTAGTCCTTTTTTATTCCATGTACCTACGCAAATTGCAAGTCAAAACCTCAAAGATAATAAACTTACTGGAATAAAGAATTACAAGCAACTTCCCTGGCATGAGCATTTGTTGAAAGTTACACTAGCCAGGTTTTGCCTCACGCCTTCTCTATCAGCTTTTATCGCAACTTACTGATACTTTCTTGTATTCAACTAAATAACAGATTGTGTTGGATTAAGAAGTGCCACCTTGGACTCATATGTAAAAACTGACTTGAACTGAGTTTTTTTGTTGAGAAAAAAAGCAAATTCCTTACATTTTAAATTTATCTGTAATAAATCACCACATTATTTTCTTTTTTTTTACTCTCTGAAATTTGGCGTCATCTTGGTAGTTTTCCTTCTTCCAAAGAAAATTTGCTTTTGTCTCATATTGCATATCTTGGTGTTTTTGTCTTCTCAGAAAAACCAGTTGCGGTGAAAGCTCCAGAACCGGTAAAAGAGGAGAAAAGTGTGAATGGTGAGCTGACAGAAGAGGTAATCGCCCAGAACAGAGCCAAACTAGCATCAAAGTTGGGGTCACCAACCATGAAAAAACCAAAGTTAGTACCAATTTTTCTCTTCACTCTTATTTTACCATAAAATAAGTTCATATTGAAGATGATCATGTTTTCCCATGTCTGCAGTGAATGTAAAAAGTTATGTAGAATCAACGCCAAAAAATTTTATGCATTTTTAGAGTGTGATAGAAGATCTTAGCTTTTTTACGAAATCCTCCATGGCATGGTGTTACTTATTTGTAACAACGTATTTTTTTTTTTTTTTATTTTTTTTTTAAATTTGAACTACAACTAAGGCATTATGTTCCATACCTCTATCAATGTTTTCGTTCCTGAAAGAATGATTTTCTAAATTTCAAAATTTTTAGGAGGAAATGTGGAACTTTTATGTTTTTATGAAAGCTGCAGCATAAATTTGTGTCCCTCAGAATCTAAGACCTATTAGTTTATATCATAAAGGCTTCAAATTCAGCTGCATGTAACCCTCATGGAAGAAATGTCTAGTTTGTAGTAATTTTAAATTTACCGTTTTGGGGTTTTTCCACAGAAGCAACTGGAATGATCATAGAACCTCCGCCATTGTCAAGCTAAATTATTTTCTGTTTGCTTTTATATGTATTTTTGTCTAATTTTGAACGTTTCAAAATTGAAAGATGAACAGCAGTAATTAATTTTAGTGGAGGTCCTACGATTCCTAATAAAATAGTGTCTACTTTTGCCTAATGTGATAACTAACCTCCTTCATTATTTAGATGTCATCTTCTCAGAGCTCGCTTTTTCTTCTTCTCTGAATGTTGAGAACAAAACCAACTGGATTTGAAACTCAAATATTACATTGAAATTAATACATCAGACAAGATATACCTCTTCATAAAAATCTAATCGATACCTCAAAGGTCTCAGTAACATTCATTTGGAACCATTCGAAGTAGTATTCTAAAATTAATGAAAATTTATGGTAGACAAAAATTCTTTCCCAGGAATATATTTTCCTTTAAAAAAAATTTCATTTCCGAAAGTTTTTTTTCTTGTCTTGCAGAAAAAGTCCAAAGCCAAATGAAGGAGGCAAAAAGCCCAAAGCGAAACGTGTTTGGGACCTAAGTGGAAAAAGTAGTGATCTGGCAACATTGGAACGGACAAAAGATAAGCCACCCGAAGGAGAATCTGAAAAGGAACTGGCAACTGATCAAAATGTAATGTTATACTTTCATCAAGTTTTATTTTTTAATTTTCCCCTGAAGAGATACGCTGTTTAATGCAACACTAGTCAAGATTAATCATGAAGGTAACTGCAGACGCGTACTGGATCTAATTGAACCCATTATTAGTGCACTAAACAGCATGTCTCTCTGAGAGAAATTTTGCTTGCATGAGTTTTATGAAAATTTCCATAGTAAAAATTTCAGCCAGAGATGGATTTGGAACTTCAAAATGCCTTAAGTATTACTAATATTTAAAATGATTTCCTACTTAAAAAGTGCAAACTTTGAAATCAAATATGGAACGTATGTCGGAGAAGTACTCGTTTCTGAATATCCGCCATTAAATATTTCGATTTTAGGAGGATATTTGACAACGCTACTCTCCGCCTTTTTTCGCTGATACACACCTCGAACAGCGCATGCGCGAACTAGCGAGGATTCGCAATCGGCGGACGCCGCATCGCGGGGTCGAGAGAGTTCGGACAGAGTGTTTTGGAAATTCGTGCCGAAGGGAGCTGTGGCATCACCTGCGCTTTCGCCCCATTTTTCTCTCCTCTCAAGGGTTACCTGTCCAATTCATCAGAAGGAAAATCTTTGTTTTTTCTTTCATCACCTCTCGCAGCCAAAAAGTCTTTTTCTCCGTCCCTATCAGAAATACCTCAGTCTACGCTACGCATTTGCGGTATCGCGACATGACTGAGGGCATTTCTGATACGCAGGGACCATAGAGGCGGGACTTGTTCCCCACACGTAGAATTTTTAAGTAGCTTCTAATTTTGCAAAGAAATTGGCTGAAGTATTGTCAGTTTGCCTGCTAGTCTCTGTTTGGTAGAGATGAACATGCCTCACAAAGTTTTTTCATAGGTAATACATTTTCGTCCAATTTTTTCCCCCCTTGAAATATGTGTAATTTCCAACTCAAACAGTTTTCCAAACACGCAGCTCAATGGGAAAGAGAAAAAATATCAATATCAATCAGACGTGTTCATGATCTAAATTGAAACTAATTTGTTAGTGATTGATACTTTTGGTTCTAAGAAAGGTATATTTTTTGTCTGGTAGATGGTTGGTCAGATGGTTGGTGGCATCCGTGACATCGAAATCGAAAGTGAAGAGTCAGATTCAGAAACCGAAGAAGAGGATGAAGAGGAAGTTGGAGCAAAACCTGCTGTCACCGAAACCAAAAAATCTAGAGGTGTTTTTTCCTTATTCAGGTAAGTGGTCGTAATTTTTTTCATCTGAAAGGTGTCTGTCTGTCGTGTCTGAGGTACCGTGTAAGAAATGCGAGTACATTAAATGGAGCTCTATCAAAATAAAGTCACAATGATGCAGTAAATTTCTCTCAACAAGCTGCCTTACAAGCTAGTACTCGTGGAAAAGAGCCTCCCTAAAAAAGGGCCTTTTTTGGCCCCTTTTCGGGAACCCGGGGATTTCGTTCGTGGCTTAAATGAAACCTTATGATGAGGTAAGCCTCCAGTAAAAATTTTAGCTTGAGTATACGTCTAGTTTCCGAGATACAGCGTTGCAAAGTTGGCATATTTGAGCTTTAAAATTCTCATATTCTCAGGTATCTTATTTTCTCAGAACGATTAAATTGGATGCTTTATGATATTTTGTGACATTTTATCAAATGTTAGTATTATTATCGAATGCATATTTCAACTGAAACATTAATACTACTAATTCTGTTAAAACAACGTTGCAAAGTTGACATAAAAACCTATAATAAATGTTCATTTTATCAAGTTTCTTAACTTAAAAACGAACTTAGTGACCGCTAAAAGATATGCTTTTGGGGTTTAGATGCAATTTTATGATAGATTAAGGCTTTTGTTAAAATTTAACACAAAGTGCAAGTATAGTTTTAATGATACAGGGTTGCAAAGTTTATATATTTGAGCTTTAAAAATGTCTATATTTTTGAGTTCTGTGTTTAAGAAGCTACTTTCGTAGAATTTAATCACGATTTGAGGCAGGAAATCAACCATTTATGTCATCTGTAGATGAATGTTTATATTTGAAGAAGAATTCTTTGACCGGTAGTGATACAGCGTTGCCATGCTTAAAACTTTGAACTCTGTATGGATTATGATTTTTTCTTGTTGAACACGACTTCAATGGGTATCTTAACTCGTATCAAGGCAAAATATCAAGGGCTGATGTCAGTCCCAGGAAACGATTGGTTTTGGAAAAAATACTGCTGCCAAGTTTATTCATAATTCTTTTCAAACAAAAAATAATAAAATGATTTTAAAATAAAGATGCTTCTAATTTAATTTTTTTACTTTTTTTATTTTGTTTAATTTTTTTTGGTAATTTGTTTAGTCTTTTGTGATTTTTTTATATTTATTTATGAATATCCATGAGAATATTTTTTTCGATTGATACGTGAGTATAGTCTTGCCTTCAAATATATAGCAAGTACCTCAACTTGTTGCCGATTTTTTACTTTTACCAAGTATCTCAATTATTTTGAGGCATCTGGATCAAAGATATGTTTTCAACATGCTCTATACATATACAAGCTTGTTATGATTGGCACTGCAAAGACACTGCACCGTTGCGTATTGAGAAAACGCAATTTTTTTCCAGATATATTTCACTGGGAGATGGATGTATTTTTTATCAGAATGGAGGGGTCAGCGAATGCTACCAAGAATTTACTTCTAGTGCCGAGATCATAATGTGAATGCTTAAGTCTATTTTGAAATACAAGTATGAAACATGACAATAGCCTGGTCCTATTCTTTTCGGAATGCTGTCACTGTGACACAGAGGTCTTAATACTATGGGGACAACCCTCAACAAAAATGGAACTTTAACATCTAATTAATGAAAAAATAGTTAGTAGCTATGCCGAAATAATAATTTTTGACAAATCCATGCAACAATATTTTAATAATTTTAAGTATTACATTCTTTTCATTTCTTTTTCTATAGATTTATTTATTTAATATTTATTTTCTTTATTTAATTTTCTCATCATTTGTAATTCTTAAGTCGAAGATATTCTATTCTTTAAGGAACAATGAATGTATTGTCTGTATCAAGATTTATTTGTACTCAAAAAACTAGAGCGTTTCCATAGTTTATGTTCGTTTTTGCATTCTGCCTAAAAAAAAGTAAAATTGACAACCAAGGCAAGGTAGAATTTTTTAGATTTTGAAAGCAACACTGATGCTGAGCCATTCATTGTATGCTATAAATTCACTTGGATTACGTTTTAAAATCAGACAATTATTGGAAGTATCCTTATTTTAAACTTATTTTATTATGGAATGTTAAGAGAAACTTAAATAAAATTGGCAACAGTGCCATTTTAATTCCAATTTTCACCTAGGATTGACAAAAGTCCTCCACATTTCTTTGTTTCACAATATCACTTATCAACGATTGTTCAATCTTGTCTTCAATAAAATAACACAAAATAGACATTTTCCCAGATACAAGTTGAAAACTTTGCAACACTGTATTATCGTATCCTTTCATAAATTATACTATGCATCTACGAGTATCACTAATTGTTGATTCTATGCCCCAAAATACAGTTCGATCTTCAGTAATAGCGGTTTGTGAATGAGAAACTTTAAAAAATGAGCTTTTTAAAGCTGAAAAATGTAAACTTAGCAACGTTGTACTGCCAAAACAAGGCTTACGCATGAGTCAAAATTCTCACTGGAGACTTTTTATATTATTATAATTTATCATGTGCACCTCATGTAAGTATTGTAAAGTCATTTTTGAAGTTGGTTTTTGGAAGAAAATCCATAAAAATATGATAATTTTAAAGCTCAAATATGCCAACTTTGCAACGCTGTATCTCGGAAACAAGACATATACTCAAGCTAAAATTTTTACTGGAGGCTTGTCTCATCATAAGGTTTCATTTAAGCCACATACGAATGAGATCCCCGGGTTCCCGAAAAGGGGCCATTTTTAGGGAGGCTCTTTGATCTAGGGTCCTTCATAGGATGATACATTAAGCAGCAGCTACATATTACTAATTGCCAAGAAACTCCTCTAAAATAAATGCACTAAATATGTCAGAAAATTGGAGACCAAGAATTCTCGAAGATTTTGAAAGAACCAAAAGTGGAGTAAAAAAGCAACTTTTAATTAGGTTTTGGCCTTGAAAGTTTTTTGCAACTCCTGGTTTGAATTAAAAGAATTGTACTGCATTTTTCAATGAAGAACTACTGTTCCTGGCTCATCCTTAAAAGCTCCTATCGACGTAATAACTGATGGCTTATATCGACAGTGTGACTATCATCTCGGTTTGCGACGTCGCAGACTTCCTGTCGTACTTTATTTTTTGAATGAAAAACTGCTCAACGTAAAATATCAAAAATTATAAATTTTTTCAGAAAAAAGTGTAAATAAATTATTTATTTTCTCAATTAAATTGTGTGCTTTTCTCAGCTCAGCAATGTAATTCTGATCCCACACCATGAATTATTTTGCACTTCTACCATAATGATGAAATTTTCTTTTGTATTTTTCAGAGGTCTTGTCGGAAGCAAAAGCCTCTCGCAAGAAGACATGTTACCAGTACTCGATAAACTTAAAGATCATCTCATTGGTAAAAATGTTGCTGCAGATATTGCTGTAAAACTCTGTGATTCCGTTGCAGCTAAGCTGGAAGGCAAGGTAAGTAATAGTGTTGATCAGCGACTAAAAGAAAAGTTGAGATTTTTATGTGATTTACCCTAATGTGTGCAGCAACATTGCGAGTTATTAATTTCCCCAATAGGCCACCAAACAATGTGTAAATTTAAGCAGTATTGTATATTTTTTCCATTAAACTTTCTTTTAGAACATTATTTGTTCAATGAAAATCACTGAAAGTAACTCATAACAAGGATATTAACAATTTTCAATGTATAGATTCAAACTTTTGTTTTGGATACAGTGCTGTAAATCCTTTCTCATCTACATTTTCTGTCGGTCCTCAGGTATTGGGAACTTTCGAAAGTGTTACATCAACAGTCAAAGCAACCTTGACAGATGCATTAGTGCAGATTTTATCTCCAAAACGGCGCGTAGATATCCTGCGAGATGCCCTCGAAGCTCGGGCAAAGGGCCGTCCATTTGTAATGGCATTTTGTGGTGTAAACGGTGTTGGCAAATCAACAAACCTTGCCAAGGTAAGTCAATTTTTGCTCTGTAGAAAATACCTAGTTTAACAATGTTTTTGACACACCAACAACATACCTTAACTTTATTTGTGTGCAAATCTAGAATCAGTAATTACATTGACAAAAGTAAGTAACTCTAAATCCCTTCAAGTTCATCTAAAATTCATTAAATGTGGCTGTATATTGAATCAATTATCATTCATAAAATACAATTAACAACAGAGAAATTCTGTTTTGAAGCATTTTGATGACTCAACTCCAAAACATTGTATCTGAATTGCAACTTTTCAACATTTCCTGGAATGCTTTACTTTTCTGAAGGAAAACAAATTAAATTTTCAGTTGAAAATATTTGCCGGGTAGTCATGGAACAGCAAAGAAAAATTAGAAGATGTCAAAGATGTAGTGTTAAATGGGCCTGTTGCAAACTTTTGTCAGAGCAAAAATAAGAGTTGTTTCTTACAGATAATGTCTCAAAAATCATGATGAGCGCATTGGCAAAGTCTGAAATGTACTTATAACTTCACAATCTGCATAAGAAATTTGCGTTTTTTTGAGCTTCCCAATTCAAAAACGATACTACGGCACAGGTGAACATTTCGTTAGAGGAGTCGTTCCATCGTCGACAATATTCATCATGGCCGACGCTAATCCGCCAAAACACGTGTAACGGGACGAGATAACACCTGACCAGGATAAGACCAGATAACAATCGGCATGTTTACGCTCCTATTTACCTCGCCCGCTTTGATTGACTTTGATCTCTCCTCGAATTACGCGCGGAACTGCGGAATCGTCGGCCATGATGAATAATGCCGACGATGGAAAGACTCCTCTCACAAAATGTTCACCTTTGCTGTAGTATCGTTTTTGAAGCGGGAAGCTCAAAAAACGAAAATTTCTCGGGCAGATTGTAAAGTTATGAGTGCATTTCAGACTTTGCCAATCCGCTCATCGTGATTTTTGAGACATTTTCTGTAGAACCAACTCCTATTTTTGTTCTAGCATAAGTTTGCAACAGACCCATTGTTTCTCATTCAAGCAAAAGGGGAAACATGAGTGAGAAGAGCCTGTCAAGAAAGTGCCCTTTTTTAATGCCCAAAATTACCAACTCTTTAAAATCCTTGAGTTTCGTCAAAAAGGGGCACAAAAAGGCCCTGTTTTGACCAGCTCTTTTGCATTGTTGCTTTTGAAATCTGCGGTCTTGAAGTTCAGACTCTGTTATTTGTACAGTACCCACTGTTTCTTTTTTTTTTTTTTTTTTTTTTTTTTTTTTTTTTTTTTTTTAGAGTTTTTGTTGCTTTGTCCGATTATTTCTTCCATTTTGTAGTTGATGAGAGTTTTTCTTTGCCTCAGATTTGTTTCTGGCTGATAGAGAACAATCTAAGAGTGTTGATCGCAGCTTGCGACACTTTCAGAGCAGGAGCTGTCGAGCAGTTGAGAACCCACACTCGTCATCTGAATGCATTGCACCCTCCCGCCAAACACAATGGCTTGCAGATGGTTCAACTTTACGAAAAAGGCTATGGTGAGTAGGATTTTCGTCTCCAACAAGAGTGCATTAGGATCGCCTAATTGATCTGACACAATAAAAAATTACTCCTCCAGAGCAGCTAAAAGTTAGACAAGGGTTGTGTATTTAATACAGCACTAAAATAATCAAGTTGCACTCAGAGTGTGAAGTGACTTAATAGTCAAATTTCATTTCATTCATAAAAAGGTACAGTAATTTTCAAAAATGCCTATAGCTATCATCGCTCAAATTCTTGGGGAAAAGATTGGGTGTTAATGCCGAATGAAGATAAGCATTAAAATCCCAAAACCATTCATAGTATGTCGGCTCTATGAGGTTATAAATCACCATTTCTTAAAGTAAAAAAAACTTGACTTCTTCTTTTCGTGACTTTATTTTTGCATTCTTTTTTCCTATTAAATTTTCTATGAATATAACTTTCATTTCAGGCAAAGACGCTGCTGGAATTGCATTAGAAGCCATTAGTTACGCAAGGGACTCAAAAATTGATGTGGTTTTGATTGATACAGCTGGGCGGATGCAGGACAACGAGCCACTAATGAGAGCATTAACCAAGGTATAGATTTGCTCTTAGGTTTTAGGGTATTCATAGTGTTCATACTTCTTATGACGAAAATCACCCCTAATACGTAGAGTTTGTACTTGTCTTTTTTATATCCCCCTTCCCCCTGCCTTTCCTTTCCTTCGGAGGAAAATAGTATGAAGTTCTGCAAGCAGCAGAGTCTGTTTGGAGTCTCTCCTCAGGAAAATCTGACGGCTGGCCACCAAGAACAATTGCTCGCAGACGTGGTGAATTTGAAAAAGCATGTTACAAACAATGCAGATTGTGCGATAAAAAGTGGGTGTCAGAAATTTATGATGTGCCTAATGTGATCTTTGTGCGATTTCACCGGCAGAAAATTTATGCTCTTGACTTTCTCTTTTGCCTTCAACAGACCTATAAGGTGGATGTCCTCTTACCATATTCTTTATTACTAAACTATTCAAGATGACTGTAATTTTTACTCTCATGCTACGTCTCATACCAATTCCTTGAGTAATTCTGTATTTCCATCCCTCTAGCTTGTGAAAGTGAATGAGCCAGACCTTGTGCTGTTTGTGGGAGAAGCGTTGGTGGGCAATGAAGCTGTGGACCAGTTGGTCAAATTCAACCAAGCTATGGCAGACCATTCCTCCTCTGCTAATCCACATCTCATCGATGGAATTGTGCTCACAAAGTTTGATACTATTGATGATAAGGTATTTTAAATATCATTTTGATCAGTTTCACTGTTGGACCTTTTTTGCAAAAGGTTGACCCCTAGAAAATCCTTTTGTCAAAAACATCTTGAATCCTCGGATACTGTCCCGATTTTGCTATGTGCTCCTCCCATGGAAATATTCTTATCCGCAAAAATGCATGGAAATCATTTTTATCGTTCGCCGCTCCTCTCAATTAACTGAAAGACGAGGAGGTCATTTTCCCTGTGATTTTAGTTATCTTAATTTTGAGGGTTATTTTGAAGAATTTTCTCCGGCCAATCAACTTTTTCATTTTAACTTTTTGTGAGCTGTTTTGGAATAAATGACCATAAAATCAAATAGTGAGATAGGAGAGACACTGCGTCAGGCAACAAAATGTAACTACACATTGTCGCCGCCCAACACTTGCTTTTTCACCTCGCTAACAGGAAGCGTTGAATTTTTTAACTCGCAATTTTATTCTATATCTTCTTTATGTGATCACAGATTCAAATACTTTGAACCTTAAAATTGAAATTAAAATACTTTTAGGCCATAGAGCATCACAAAGAAAACGAGGCCCCTTTCACTACCACCAGCATAGCTCGACGCTGTAAGTCGGCAATCATGTAACTCGGTTTGCGACATCGTAAACTTCCTGTCATACTTTATTTTTTTAACTGGAAACTACTCAACGGCAACTCTTTAAAACTGCCGTGATGTTTCTTCTCAATGCGAAGAAAATTCTGCAAAAACTTCAAGGAATGATGTCAATTTGTTCTCCTTTAAAAAAATTATGTTGAGGCGGAGATTTTCAGACACCGCAAACGATATATGTGATTGCGGACTTACGCCGTCTAGCTATTGCTTTTCCAAATTTGAAACTCCCCATTTTTCACTTTTCCATCTCATTTTTGAGATCAGTACACAAATCATTATAATACAAGATTATTTGCTTCGTAACTTTGACAACCCTTGTCAATTTCGAGTTTTTAGAGCTGACAACTTACCGCAGTTTCTTCACCTGGATTGTTAATAAAAATTTACCTTCTTTTCATCAATAGTAAATCTTGAAAGTCAGAATGCGTAAACCCTTCTTCCAATAATTCCTTCTTTTCAAGACATGGTTTAATAATCTGCTTTTATTCACAGGTGGGCGCGGCCATTTCCATGACCTACATTACTGGTCAGCCGATCGTTTTTGTGGGAACAGGACAGACTTACACTGATTTGAAGTCTTTGAACGCAAAAGCTGTTGTACACGCTCTTATGAAGTAACTGATTCAAGCTCCGATTCTGATCGTATTTGTCTGCACATCAAAGTGAACCCCTCTCGTAAAAAATTGTTCTCCAACAATCACCCAAACCAATCTTTATTGCCTTATAATGGTTAAAAAAAAATATAAAAAAAAAACATATCTTGATCTGCGAAAGATTTTTCATCTTAATTTTATATTTACAAAGAAAAACTAGTGAACATTATTTCTTGATATTTTTACTGATCTTTCTTCATTCTATTCCAAACATTCTGTAATTATGTTGAAGAATAACATTCATTTGTTTTTCTTTAAACAAAATAGATTAATGGTGGATATTTTAAAATATTGCAATTAAGATGTGTGATTTTTAACTTTTACCATTGCTTAGTTTCTCCTTATGTAAAATGTAATTCAACGTTAAGTCAATGGGATATTTTAGAAGGGTAAGTTTTGATAATTTTTACTGGGAGGTTGCATTTTAAAAGTCTAATAATATAGAATTCTAATTACTTTCAAATATGAACTTTTTTTTGTTCAAATCTCAAATTTTTTCGAAATCAGAAATTTTTCAACAATACATGTAGAATTTAAAATTTTTGAATTTTAAGTCAACACTTTTTGCCATTAAGTACCTCTATTTAAATTAAATTTTTAAGGAAATTCAAACTGTAAAGAGAAAAAATGACTCATTCTTAAATTATCACAGGTATAAAAATTCATTCTAAGTGAATGACAACAAGCAATAACCTAATTTAATTCTGAGCAGACCAGTGTTTAAAAGAAATATTCTACTGTACTGAAACTGCGCATTCAGTAAAATGTTAATCCTAAGCAGTTTCGTTTCTCTGAATTTTACTGGCGTTCGTGAAATCGGGAAAAGAGGACCATGTTCATCTTAACCTTTTCATAACTACTTGTAGGTTAATTAATTTTGTGTCAAAAATTCCATTTTTTGCCATTATACAAGTTGAAAACAGAAATCATAAGATTTATTGATTCTCTCTAATCGAAATTTACATAGAAAAAGTACTTAAATCACAACTCCCTGACACATGTAAGAGCTCCATTTTGATGATTTTTCCTCACTACTACACTTCCTCTGCTCTACATTATCAGGAGCACTTAAAAACTTACCACCATCTCATTTTTTCTTCAGTCTCACGCACTACATTATGATTTATGCATATTATTTTCCAGCAAGGATCTTTGAATCGAAAATGCTACTTTATATTAAAATCTGTAGTGAGCGATTTTAGGAACTCCAATTATATTTAAGTATGATTACGTATTTTCATTTTTAAATGATTCCATCAACACAGGAAAGATGATCAAAAATAGTGCACGCATTATCATCCATCAAAATAGTGATTCTTTTTCCTCTGTTTTTCACTTTGATTGCTTACCTGTCATCTTGAATTTGCTAATAATGAAGCACATAGTGCATGATTCCAAGAAAAAAATCAGATTTATGTCTACAAATTAGCATTAAGCTGCTCTGGAATAACTTCAAATTATAATGAAACTTACGAAATGCCTGTATTGTATAGAATTCAGGTGACGGTTTTTTTTAGGTTTATATTTTTACCTCAGTCCAAGGCAATTATATATTGTTGATTTATTTAAAAAAAATTGTTGTTCTTGAACAATACCCTTAACCCTCATGAATTTGACTTCCCTCAAGAAGTGCTAAAAGTTATTCTTACAGTCTTATGGCTCCTTGCCAAGACGGTTGTACTGATAGCTTTGTGTATGTTCTACTCAGAACAAAAGTCATTGTGGTAAACTTTGTCTGGGATTGTGCACATGTAAACTATTTTACCAGTATCAGGAATTTTACCGGCAGGCTTAATACGGAGAGAATCATGAATTATTCGTTTTGAGCGTAACTGAGAGGTTTTACTAATATTGTAGCTCGTAGCATACGCCAGTAACGGTGGCTTACAAACTTACAACAAATTTCCAGTTCTACGCTTGCTGATTGGATAGAGTTAAGCAAAAGAATTACATCTAAATTGCGGTGTTTCAAAATCTCATCTCATACATTAATTTTTTGGGAGGAAACCAATCAACATTTCCGCTTAAAATTTTGTGAAAATAACCATGGCAAGAAGAATTGCAATGATTTTCGAGTAAAAATGTTGGTTGCTTTTGATAAAGAAAATTAGAATAGGAGATGAGATTTTGAAATACTGCAATGCAGATGAGACCGTTTTTCTTGAAGCCATTAAATTGTTGATGTGATGACTCCGAGAATATTTTTTTTCCAAGTTGCAAGACACCCTGACCTTACTCAAATAAAAGTGTGTGTTCTCTGACAAGAATTGCTCATAACAAACGGTTATGTTCTCGTGCAGTGTTTTCTGGCAAAGAAGTAGAACTCATAAAACTTGTTAACAACTAAGGACACATTTATTTTTTAATTACATCCACAGAATTGCGAAGAATTTCTAAGAAGAGAAACAACATATTTACAGTAACAAGCGAGCGAAAGAAAGGCTGCAGTCCTTCTACTTCTTGCTTGGTGGGACCCAAGCCTCGATTTTTGGCTTAGTTGTTGTGTAGGGAATATACTGCTGTCTGGTTCCAGATAAGTTCTGTGTATGATCCTGCATCCATGGGTAAACGGGTCTGCCAGGATCCTACAAAAAACGTAATGAAATTGTACTGAACTAGCTACTAAGTGAGGAAATATAAACATGAGAAACCACAGAACCGCATTTCGGCATTTAAAGGTGGGTATCAAGAGCTGACTTTTAGGGAAACTGCAAACCTAGATAAAAAAAATACATTTTTTTCAAACAAGGCACGGATCGGGTAAATGGTTCTGAACGGATTTTTAGCGATGAAACCAAAAATGCCATCCATTTTTTCCCCATCATGTTAAGATTTCCCAGAGAAACGAAGTTTTCCTGAGAGAAAGGATTTCATAAGGAAAATGCGATTTTCTAGGAAACTGGCCTAGGAAGGCTATGAAGAAACAGATGTCATGTCCAATTGCGGCCAAATGTACATAGGAAAATATCTATGGCCTCTCGTATGCCTTAGAACTTTTCCTGATCCTCGCTTAAACAGCAAAATCCACCCTATATGTATAGAACGGATATATTAATCTTATCCTTTTGTTTTGCAACTGATATGGGAAAGTGCACTTTTTGCCTTAAATATCTGAGAGAGTGATTTTGACTGCTGGAGCTGAAAATAACCATAGTTCTTTCTACTACCGACCTTTTTTATTTTTTAGGAGATGGACTTTTAATAAGAAAAAAACTCTTGCTTTTTGAGGAATAATAACAAGCCTGTTTTTCCTTTGGAAACTTCAAATTTATGAAACATAATTTGTGGGTGACATAGAAAATCTGAGGGAGGCCATTTTCAGCTACAATATCCGAAAGTACATACAAGTATCCCCCTAGGCTATTAGAAGAAATATTTACTTTAATTCACATACGCAAAACAAACAGATAAGATTTACACTAATTACTTGAATGGGTAAATGTTTTTCAACCAAGGAAACTTTTGTTATCAGGGAAAGCAAGAAAATGTTTTAGGCATGTAGTTGGTGGAGCTCAAAGTAGTTTTGGCTGTTGAATCCAAAATCGGCATCGGTTTTTTTTTCAACATGCACCAGCCTCCCAGTAAACTTTTTCTATCCAAAAAATCTTTGCATGATAGCTAAAATTTATGAAATTTTCGGGTTTACAGTTAAAAATCTTTTCAAAATCAGAACTTTATGCCTCTCTAGTTTTCAAGCAAGAGCTACAGCTGCAGGGCAGACGAAGCCAGTTAACTGTATGAGCTTCTCCTGTCAGCTTTTATGTGAATTTACACGCCAGCGAGGAGATCAGCAACTGCAGTGAATGCTGTGATATTTTCATGATTTATCATTACCTATCAACAATAAATTCGGCATGAACGGGAAATAACTGCTGCAGCACTATGAGTTACACTTTTCAACATCCTTCGACCTGGAATGAATCAGTGTTTGTCTTCCTGAACGTGAACTATGTTAATGCATTCAGTCTTTATGTTTATTGTTTATACTTTTTGATTTGCTTTAAAATGGAAATGCAATTACCTCATGAGGAAGATAATCTGTTTTGTAGTGGAGCCATCCATACCACTCAGGACAAACTTGACTTCCATCGTAGTCCAACCATACTTTATCGTTGTACTCCACCCATCGATTACGACCTGTAAAGGAGAAATTTTAGAAGATTTTAATATTTTTAGTTAAGAAGAGAATCTTTATTGTATGGAAGTACACCATTAAAGGACTTGTATTAAAGAGTGGCTCTGCAGTTCCTGACAAGATGGAAAGAATAATATGCACTAATTTTACCTACAATATGCAAAATTATAAGCAGTTGCCTCCTATCCTTTTTTCTTAAAAATCACAGCGAGTCCCTTTTTGAGGGAATTTGTACAACACCTTTTCATATATTCTTGTTGAAAGACCCTTTTGGATGTGTGGATTAATTTCAGCTTAATAAATTAAGAGATGACTGCACTTGATCAAAGGTTGAAAAATTCGACCTTCCTTCAGAAATGAAACAATATTGTGATACGAGAGGAAAAAAGATGACTTAGCCACATATATAACTTTCTTGAGCAACTCACTTAAATTAAACTGAAAATGTGACAAACGTGATTTAAGAAATATCACTGATTTATTTTAGTAAAATGTGTTGCTGTGTTATAACTACTCCCCATTTGAGTTACATTGGAGATTAAGCAGAAGCAATATGTCTTCTTACCTCTACCTCAGGGATTGATAGAAGAACTCCATCTCTTTTCAGAACAGAATCTGTTGTGTTATTCATGAATTTTGTGGGTTATATAAAAAGATTACCTTAAGAAGATTCCTTTTTGGAGAAAGGTGATAAGAAGTATAATATGACACTTACCATAGAAGTAATAGTCGTTCTTGTAGTACTTATTTCCAAACTTGTCCTCACCAACTAGTTCACCCCATTTGAGTTCGTCTTGTCTGAAAAAAGTGGTGTGTGATTACAAATTATACTAACTTTCAATGGATTAAGTATCACAAACATTCAAAAGAAAAAACGTAGGCCCAGTTCAGACAGACAGCTTTTCATACGACAAGAGCAGACGAGGTTGAATGAAAATGTGCAGGTGTAAAAATAGGATTCTATTACCACTGCTGTGTGATCTCTTAATGCCAGAGATCGGGTATTTCTGATAGCTTCTGATTTGCAAAGATACAGTTACAGTGATGTGAGTCGGAGGATTTTGTTTCAACTCTCCATCCGACCGGCAGTGTCATTTATCACAAAGCGTGACACGGTTGACTAAAGTTTCTCTTTCTTTCGAGAGTATTGAACACAAAGTCAGGAGAACTGCTTTGAGCAGCAGTAAAATGGACAGAAATTAACAAGGGGAACAATTGCGGGTGGTAAACCTCAGTTGACCTGTATGATAAGCTTCACTTACTCGGATTGAAAAGGTAATCGAGAGCAAGGAAAATCGATAAAAAATACCTGAAAAGTTTGTATAATGATCCTGTAACTCCTCCATTTTGTTTGACGATTTTATATAAGTTTCTTAGGGGACGAAAAAGATCCAATGCCATTTTAGAAGACCTTTAAGAACTTACACCTTGATAAGAAATTTCTACTTAACCTCAAACAATTTGAGACACTCCAATCTCTACGAGTCGAACTACTTTACACGATTGTCAGTTCTCAGTTTAGGTCAAAGTGAAAAAATTTAAATGTTTGACTGAAAAAAAGATCATTTGAAACCAAAAACTTACATTTAAATTCAGTTTTGAATTAACTAAAGCTCCAAAAAAATAATAAAATTACAAAAGCTTACTGTTAAAATTTAATTATAAATTTCATCAGGTACGATATGACAACATTGCATTCCAATAAAAACAAAACAGTCAACAAGGTCAGGAATTTTGTTTTGATTACAGTTAGGAATTTTTTTCTCTCTGAACTCTTTCTTTTTTATGTAGTTTTCTGACATATTGTTTAAGTGCTAAACATAATTTTATATACCAGCTTTATTCTACTAATTCATGGAGCGTGAAGGTTTGTAATGCGATGGTCTCCAACGAAAGTGGAACGGATGACTGTATTGGTGCCTCCGACGAAGAACTTTCACTGACCAAAGTAAGATTCTTTCTTCTTTTTTCTGTGTTTTTCCCACTGAGTACCTTTATTTTTCACCGATAATTTCTCACCAACTTTGGCTGCAGAATGACCAAAAGTTTGATGCAAACAGAGTAAGTATCAAGAGAGTGGTAGACACTTTGTGGCGAGCTTGTTAGGATTATGTCAACAACTGAATATCATTCAGGAAACAATAGAATGCTGATCATTTGCTTCTATGCATTTTGTGTATTTTAACCTTATTATTCTTTGAAAATCTCGTGAGCGTTGCGCCGTAAATTGTAGTTTACCAAACCTAAAGCTGTGAGCAAGGAGCCATAACCTCAAAGATAATCTACTTACTTGAGGAGGGCTTTTTCCATTTGTTTCCGCTGGTATTGCAATCAAAATGCAGACATGAGAGCACATTTGTGGAATACTGATGGTCGTTCTCGTCAACTGCTCTCCAGCAAGAAGTAGTCATCTGTCATGGTTATGATGTTCCAAGGGATGTGCCGCAAACTGTAGAGAAGATCAAAAGCTCTACAGGAACTCTGAGAAAAGAATGGGAATGTTGGGACACTCCTGTCATTTTGTTTGCCTTTAATAATTTCTCCTAACATGACAACATGCAATACAAATCTACTGAGCGTTTGGTTGTCACATTTCCTCGAAGGAGAACCGTCTGGGCATGACGCACCTCATGAAGACTGTCTAATTGTAAGGTTTTTTAGTAACAGTGAGCCCAGAAATTACCTACCAAGTAGGTACTGGAATGAAGTTAACGAGAGAACCTGTAGAACATTGCACAGTTTGGGAGTTTCATGCGGGCGGCAATGCCTGCAGCCGTGTTCCAGGATTTCAATTCCTGAGTGTGTTTGTCCATATGAATGAGTTGTTTCTAGAGCAGGGGAAAGAAAAGAAGAGACAGAATTCACATCAATCTGGATGCATCAATCATCAGTTGGCCCATTGGTTAGCATGTAATTATCTATTGAATGCTGCAATTTTTGGATGTGACATTAATTGTCTCTTTTCTTTCCCTAGTTCTAAAAGTGATAACAGCAAACATGTCCATTGTCAGATAAGCCTTAGGTTACACAATAGTTCTAGTATTTTGGGGCTCATCTAAAAATGGACTTGTCCCTTTTAGGTACAACTTTTTTGAGACCCTATTACCTACTCTTTGATTACTTGGTTCGACGGAAGCTCTTATGAATCTGCAAATATGGTGTAAGTAATAAGTTTTGCTGGGACGGACTATTGCAGAATCACTATTACTGCACATGATTTGGTGATATTTCATCATCTTTAGAAGATTGTTTCGCTTCAGATTTTTTTTCAAGACAAGCCAATTCTCTCTTAAATTATTATCAGAAGAATCGCAAGTCTGAATTATTTCAATCAAGATGTGTCCTCAGTTTCATCTGTGATTTGCATTTGATATGGAGGCTTTGAACTGAGTTTCTTTTAAAGTTTCTGGAACATCAGTATCAATTTCCAAAATGAAAGTCGAAACAAATTACTAGGAGACTTTAATCTCTAGCAAAGTCTTTTGTATGAATAAACCAAGGTTTCAGGTAGCTTAAGATTAATATAAAGTAAGTAGGTATACGAGGATTGAAATGTGTTAGGGAATTAAGTGTGCCTGCAAAGTACCTATATAGACGGCGTAAGTTCGCAATCACACATCTCATTTGCGGTGTCTGAAAATCTCCGCCTCTTTATTATTTTTTTAAAGGAGAACGAATTGACATCATTCCTTGAAGTTTATGCAGAGTTTTCTTCGCACAGAGAAGAAAAATCCCGGCAGTTTTGAAGAATTGCCGTTGAGTAGTTTTCCGTTTAAAAATAAAGAATGACAGGAAGTCTGCGACGTCGCAAAGTGAGTTATGTGATTGCCGACTTACGCCGTCGATATTCCTGACTACGCGTCTATACCAGAATAGTCCTTTTGACACTGAAATTATTTCACTCCCTCCAAACCATGGACAGTTTTGCCACAAATCTAGAGCCTGGTTTCTTTAGTCCCCCCCTCTTGTGCATACATGTATGCGTCTAATGTGGTAAAACAAATACTTTTGCTGTAGAAAATAAAGGTGTGTCTTTTATCCCCAGACTGATGATCCTGATCCTGAAGAAACTGCACAGCTTTTCAAGGAACTGACAAAAAAACGTACACTGGAATACGAGTGGCAGAATCCTGGAAGACGCCCCCCAACGCCTGATATCGTGAAAGAATTCAATGAGGAACATGAGGCTAACGATGCAATGTAAGTGTTTTGGGTTAATCCAAAAAATTTTTATTTTGTTCCACTTTAAATTTTTTCAATAAGCTCAGTGAGTCTGAACATCAAAACTGAAAAAAAGAAATTTTGAAAAGATGTATAATTGCACTCATTGATCAATGTTGAATTAGATTAAATATATAAAAAAACTGCCACACTAGTCCCCAGCTCCAAATTCTGAGATACAGCGCTGTCCCACAAACTTTGCCACTCAGTGCCCAGAGCAATGCATTGGTGGTAAGAAGATCATGGAAAAATAAGATAAACTACCGGAGGATAAGGAAAAATGGAGCTTGATTATTCAAGTATAGGAACGACAGGATGTAAGTTACCAGGACATGCAGGGAACGAAGAAAAGGCCTGACCATATTTGATTCTTTTGTCATTTACTGGTTCCGGTTAAGTGTTTTTGGTCGAAATGTTTCATCATTTGTTAAAAATAGAAACTATTTGTCATATTCTGCAAGAAAGAACATATTTTGAGAATGCTACTTCACAATTTCTTACTGGAATTTTACTTTTTTGCACAAAAGAACCATCGCATGAATTTGCCTGAAATTTTCAGTGGCTTTTCTGAGTACTTGTGAGAAAAGACATTAAAATTCTCCAATGAATTCCTGCAATAGTTCTTCCATGAAAAAATAAAATTTCCATGGAAAAGGTGAAACAGTGCAATTGAGATATGCTCCTTCATGCCGGAGACAGTAAGTATATTGATGCACCAGTACTATAAAAAAAGCTTCAATTTTCTCTTCAAGAATTTGTTTGTTCTTGAGCTTTGAGCAGCTCTCCTGTGAAATGAGGTTAATTAGACCTGTCTACTTCCTTCCCAATACTCCTCAATTGTAGTGAATGACTGACGAAAATCATGAAAATTTAGGCGTTTTTCCCTTGCTCTTTTTGGGAGTCACTTTTCAATTAATTATTTTTCTTCCTTCTGTTGCAGAATGAATACTGCCACAGAGTTTGACTTTCAAGATGAAATGTCTCAACTGAAATTAACTGTCAGACAGCCAGGTGATTGTACCCCCAAAGGTAGTGCCAAGAAAGCAACCACCAGTCTCAATTCAATTCTGTCAAATATGGCGCGTCATAGGAAACTTGAACTGATGGAGAAAGATTTGGACTAAGATTCCTCGCACCTTAATTCTTTGTCAGTTTTTATTTTATTTTCTTCAAGTATCTTAGTAAAATCAAAGTTATCATTTCTGTTTTTAATTTTTACAGTTCTAATTATTTTACTTTGCTCTGCCAGTATTATTGCAAGAATTGATTAATTTTAATTGCTGCCTACTTGGTGTTCTTTTTTCATGAATTACAACATACTAAGCAGCACAGTGAGGTAAGAACTAACATTATATCATCAAGTGAAAATGTTGTCACGGAAAAATAAAGACTCCCGTACAATAAAAGAAGGAGTTGTGGGAAAGTATGTGCGGAAAGAAACACCGCCAGAAATGCAGATCATAAATGTCTGGTCGACAGAACCTGTGAAAAAAGGGCAACGTCGAAGACAAGAGTCCCCCTCAATGATTAATGGCCAAGGTAACAGCTTAGTCCAAAAGTTTGGTAATAGTCGTGCCACCCCTTCACCAACCTTATTAGGTCATGAAGGAAAGTACACACCAAGCACTTCAGTCCCAGACCTAGCCCAAAGATTTACAAGTTTGAATGTGAACGCAGATCATTTACGTCTTCCTCCTCAGTCGGTCATAGTTCCTGGTATGAGTCATTCCTATATCAACCAGTATGCTGAGTCAGATTATAGTCTTGACAAGCAATCATCAAGTTCCAACTACCTAGCAATCCATCATAACACTCCTGACACAGTGGTACGCTACGAGCCACCAAATTTCACCTACTTTCAGCAGGTACCAATGGCTTACAGCCAGCAGCATACAATTCACCACCCAGATCACAATTTACAGCTTGCTCAATCGCAATTGGAACATGTTTCATCTTTTCGCCAGTCGCAACCAACGCATGCAGACTCTGATAATAGTGAAGAACTCCCCCTACCACCAGGTTGGTCAGTAGATTTCACACTACGTGGCAGAAAATATTACATTGACCACAACACCAAAACAACCCATTGGTCCCATCCATTAGAAAAAGAAGGGCTACCCACCGGCTGGGAAAGAATCGAGTCCCCAGAATATGGAATCTACTATGTGAACCATATTCGACGGCAAGCTCAATATGAGCACCCTTGCGCACCTCAGTATATCTACCATCCAGAACTGCGGCTTACATTGACTCCTCCTCCACGACATACACATTTCCACCCCCATAGCGTTTTAGTTCCTGCTAATCCTTACCTCAATCAAGAAATTCCTTTATGGCTTAGTGTGTACTCCAAAGCACCCAAGAATTATGATCACAAACTACGCTGGGAAATGTTTAGACTGACAGAACTAGATTGTTTTAATGCGATGTTAACAAGGTTGTACAAACAGGAACTGGAAGAAATAGTCATGCGGTATGAAGCGTACCGGTCAGCACTGATGTGCGAGATGGCTAAACGGGTTGAAGCACAAAATTCTATTCAATATATGCCAGTGACACATCAAGTCCTAAAAGAAGCAGCTTTGGCCGAACAATCAGAAACTAAAGTTTAAATCACTTTTTCGTGGTGAAAGTAAAAAACTTATATTTTGATTTGGGACATGTAGCTTTCTTTCTGCATTTTATTTTTTAAAAAAAAATCAATGAACATTATTTCTCGGAATTTTTGCTGCTTGTTTTCTCTCTGTACAGAATTTTTTGGAAAATTTCAATTAGTAACTTTCATTTTTTTTCTTTGAGAAAAAATAAAAGAGCAGTGGTGCTTTTGAAACGTCACAAAAACGAAATGTGTTTTTCAACTTCCGCTATCGTTTTATGATTTTATCAAAGGTGGGCTTTCAAAACAAACAAATACCTTTTTCCTCTTATAGTTTTGCCAATTATATAAGACGAAGTGAATAAAGAGGCATTTTAGGTGTCTTAGTTGCTGACTCCAGACTATCTGTCATGAGTTATTCTTTCAATGGAAAATCACTGAATGGCAAATCTTAAAAATTACCGTAATTTTCCTACTCTGCAAAGAAAATTACTTGAAAACTTCAAGAATGATGTTGATTTTTTTGCCGTCAAGAAAATAAAAAAAGGATTGAAGATTATAAAACATTGCGAACAAGATACGCTGTTTGGGAGTTTCACTGTTGAGTTGTAATATATTACCAGAGCAGAGGTACACTTCCTGAACTTTGCAGTAAAATCTGAACTTAATTATGTTTTCCTCATGTTTTTCGTAAAATGTTTTCAGAATTGTGTGTTTGTATCGTAAATTGCAGTCATTTTTCAGTGCCTCATCTTTAAATCAAATTCGCCTTACAATTTTAGTACTTGTAAATATTACCAATTGTGATTATGTGTCTGTAGCAGGTTGTAATAAGCGCATAGCTCTTGTGTCATAATTTGAAAGGGCTGAATATTTAATCAAGCTTTGAAACTTTCCCTCTAATTTTCAGCCGTAAAATAGTTTCACTTTTCCAATTTCTCATTTCCCTCAGTTAAAGAGTGAAATTTAACAGGGTCAAATTCATATCCTCACAAACATTTATGATTATTAATCTATGAGATGTAGTAACAAGAAATCAGTCAAGAATTTACGGCTACTCAAGGATTAGTGTGCAATCTTACTGTATTTTTTTTAAATGAGTCAACTTACTGTCGATTGCAATTTTGTTCTTATTTTCTGATCAGTTACTTTTTAACATTCCAATTTTCTTGTGCTCAAAGTCTCAGAAATATTTTTCTCTGCCAACTTTTTAATCCATTAAATTCACGCTGTAGTAAAAATAAAAAGTCTGTTGTACCTATCGCAGTATGTTTCATTGAATTTGAAGTTAAAAAGTAATCAATTCTAAAGTATAAATTAAAGTCATAAATTTTCGACACCAGGTTTCATGGTTTACATGTTTGAGATAAGTTGTTTTAAGTTTAAGTTCTCTTAATTCATGTATTACCTTTCTTTTCCCTTTGGTTGTACTGTCTGTTTCAAAAAAAAATTGAAACAATGTAAAAAGTAAGGCATCTTCAGCTGAAAGTGATTTCAAGGGTATGTTTTAGAATTTGTTTGCTGTACATATAGTTTAATGATTCTCATCATCATTCTTTCAAATAAATATGCAAGTTATTTACTTTTTTAATTTTTGCACATCCTTTTTCTTTCACAATTATCCTCTCGAACATTCTTTGTAAAGGACAGGCATATTTTCAAAGAAAAAGAAAAAAATTATAGCATTTTTATCTTGCACCCTCAGGTAATTTTGAATACACTCTCCGGCCACAGAGCAACCCAAGCGCCACTTATGCTTAGAAGCTATGTTGCCAAACGTCTCAATATTGTTTTTATTTTTTCCTTAAAACTTTTGCTCATACTTTCATGAAAATTTCAAGGATTAATCTTGATGACCAAAAAAATATTAAGTATTTGCAAGTAATTCTGTTCATTAGTTTTTCCGTTTAAATTAGGTAAGTTTAAGAAGTTTGCCAAAAAAGTGCCTGAGCACAAATGGTGCTTGTGATACTATGGCTGGAAGTTAACGGATTCTGGACTATTGACATGACATTAAAAACTATGTGCCAGGTATGCCATAGATATTCAGTTTCAATTTGAGAAACACAACTTTCAACCTGAAAAACTGCAACATTCATCGACAGTTGTAATTGTTTTTTCTCTCTGAAATAAATTTAGTTTTCCCATTAAATAGATGCATTCACCCCCAAAAAAGCCTATCTGCACTGAATCCTGCATAAGCACATGGGTAGACCTTTCTTCAATAAATGCATCTTAAAGATTTCCGTAGTAACTGAGGTCTATCATTTTCATGTTTTGTTATATCAGGATCTGGCATATTTTATTCGTCCAGACAAGCCACACTGAGATCGTAAGGTTTTAAAAAAATGTGCAAAAACAACTAGACAAAGAATATTTATCTTGAATGATTAAGTTTAACTTCTGCTTAAGCCACCAAGTCAAGACATACATGTTCTTTCAAATTTGCAGGTGGGGCAAAACTTAAAAATGTTGATGCTGATGGGTTTCAATCCATTTGTCAGAGTTGTTTAAAGAAGAAAGTAGGCACCAATACATTACACAATCAAATAGATAGGTATATCACAATTTTTTTTTTTTTTTTTTTTTTTTTTTTTTTTCATTTTAAAAAAAAACTAATAGATTAATTAGGTAGGTAGTCCGTAACACTTAGTTCCTAAAAACTACAAAAAAGTAAATATCAGTGAAACAGTTATCTTCAATATTTATAAATTGTGAGGTCTAAAATTGGTAATTTCCTTTTGATAGACCAAAATTGCTATTTGCGACAGGCATGTTATGTGGAAAATTGCTATTTCATAAGAGTAGGGAATAATTAATTAACTTGCTCCGGTTTTGCATGCTGGAGAGCTAGGATCAGTACCTAAGTATGTTTTTCTCATAGTTTTTCGAAGAAGGTTTAGGTATACTATTGAAACTTATTTTGATTCGCCAGTATCACGGTATCTTTCTTCGCAAAAAAATAAAGACAATAATCAGGTAAGTAATGTGCTGAAAATGCTGGCATTTCAGCTAGGAAGAAGAATACAGTCATCAATTTTGATCTTTTTCAATTGGGATTATTTAAAGAACGATTGAGGCTCGAACCAATTTCATACTTTGTCAACTCGTAACTCTCCCACTTCTTCATTGACTACCAGTAAATAATTCATGATTTCACTCCCGCTATGGGCCCATATTCCTGATTAATTCAATCGCTTTCTCTGCCATAGCCTTGAAGTAATTAAGGAGTGGAATTGTGTTTTTCCCGGACGCCGAGAAGCGCGCGACCCCGCACTCGTAATCCCCCCCCCTCATCCATACCAGTCGCGCGCGTTTTTTCATATCGACGGTGAAACTACCAAACCACGTATCTCGGTTTGCGACGTCGCAGACTTCCTGTCATACTTTATTTTTTAAATGAAAAACTACTTAACGTCCAGTCTTGAAAATTTCTGTGATTTTTCCTCTTCGTGCGTAGAAAATTCTGTGAAAATTTCAAGGAATGATATTGATTTGGTCTACTTCAAAAAAATAAAATGTGAGCGGAGATTTTTAGACACCGCAAACGAGATACGTGGTTTGGTAGTTTCACCGTCGATATGCAAATTTTGAACATTTTTGAAACGTGGCGTTTTGGGACTATCTTCGCTGTGATTGGCGTTCAGTGTTGTGTTGTGTTGGTCCCTCCCTGTCCATCGATCAGCAATCATCTGTGTTGGGTTGGGAATTCACGTCTTGTCGGCAAATTGGATTTCCCTAAATCCCTACCCTCAATTTCACCTGATTTCTGGCGTAAGTGCGCTAATTACGGTTCGAAAGATATCCAGTGAGGGAATATGTTGCTTTAGCACATCGTCATTTTCTTCCCGGTGACTCCTGTGGCCTTTGATTTCACGATTTCCAAGGAACCCCTCGGACTTCCGCGTAGACCCCTTTAGTCGGTGGCCTAACCATTTGAGCTCTCTACATTCTCGGGTAAGTAACATTTATTTCCCACCATCCTGTCTAAATTTACCGAATATTCTTCAGCATGACTTCCACGTTTCACCGAAGAAAATAGTCTCTAACCTTCTCCAGAAGAGCCGAAGAAATTGAGGTCCCATCTCTCTGTTTACTGCTGATCAAGTGGCCGTAATTTATTATCATATTTCACATCGACTGAGTCCTATCTATTGTAGCTTCTCCGTCAATCTTATCCCTCTTTTCGATCCTGAAGCTCTCCATTTTCAAATGGTTTGATCGGTGCACGTATTACGAGAAGAGGTGTTCAAGCATTTCCCTTGCCCCTAACCTCTACTCTTATCAGACGCACTCCATTCCATCAAAGTATGTCATCTACTCCTGCTGGATCTTTACATTAAAATCACCTCACATTTAGTCCTCATTCCTCTATAAGATTATGTTTAAGAGTATTCAATATCCAGTCTTGCCCCCAGATTCATTGATACTGTGATTTTAGTTCCACGATTACTGCATGTTTGCATTGATCTGAGTGCGTACCCCAGATCTATCACCTCACTGATCTGCTCTTAGTAAGGATGTAATTTGAATTCCTGCAATGTGCACACCTTGTGCCTCTGAAGAGGCAGTAAGGTTCTTGTCTTATTTTTTGCCCTCCAGCGTAAAGCGAAGTGCTAGAACTTGACTAAGTAATTCATAAAATTTTAGTATTTAATGACAAATATATTCAGGATTGAAACCGATCACTTACTTTTAAGAAGACAATTCAAGTATCTCTTTTAGAATGATATTGGTATTTTATGGTTTCAAATCAATCGCATTTTAGTTTAGTCCCATTGAATTTCTGTGATAATCCATTCCTTACTTAAGTAATTTCCAAATCATTAATGTCTCAATTGTAGACAGTCAGTTTAGTCATTCAGTCAGTTTATCTTGAATTGCCTCAAGAATTTCAAGCAGACTGCTTTTTCTCTTCCTTTCTGTTTACTTTTTGAGTCTCAAAATGTTTCTCTTTTTGACTTTGCAGAAAAATGGATCTGTATGGAGGGCTTATAGCCCTTGCGGTTGCAATCACTTCCTTCGTAATAGTGTTCTTTATGTCCACTACATTATTGAAAGAAAAATCTTATGATGAAGTAAAAGCAGAACAGCAAAAACCTCCAAAAGAGAAGAAAGTCCTAAAGAAAACCACTCAAAAAAAAATTGTCTTCAAGCCTAAAAAGAAACCACCAGCAAAGGAGCCGAAGAAATCAAAAGAATCTGGATCGGATGAAGTTGATGCCAAGCCTCATCACAATAATGCTCATGTCGAATTCAAGCCACCGGTAATTGTTTTGCTGTCTGATGAAGAGCCCGCTAAACCGGTAAGCTCTTAACCCTCTGTCTGTATTTGCACTACAATTTGCTCTTTTCCAGAAAAACTGACTCGGTCCAAGATGTGTTAAATGGTTTTTTGAAAGTCTCAAAAGAGCATTTAAATATTGTAGACCCCTCAAAGTATATACTTCTACTCTGAAATGACTCTTAATGTTCTTTATGTAGGCTAAATTGCTTTTATTCCCCAGCAGTATGTTGTGTAAAATTTTATTTTACCAAAACAGTCAAATTCCTTATCAGTTGTGAATAGTTTCATATCTTCTGCAAAATTGTATGTTGTTGCTAACTGAAATTTTTTTGGGAATGGTAGGAATTATTTTATGAATGGCATTACAAATTGGACCGCGTTAAACAGAAAGGAACCAAGCCACACCAGCTATTGCCAAATTGAATCGGGCAATTTAATTTTTTACATGAAAACGGTTGTGCGGATTTTTGTGCAAATTTCTATGAATTTTCTCCATAATACAAAGCAAATGCCTCAAAATTTTCAAAGGAATCCGCACAAACGTTCTCTCGTAAAAAATCAAATTCTCCTGTCAAATTTGGCAATAACTGATGTGGCTTGGTTCCTTTCTGTTTAACGAGGTCCAATTAATGCATTTTAAGTATGAGTTGCCTTAAGAAAAGGCAAACTCTCCGAAACTCCCATAGTTGTGCAGGCGACTTAAAATTCTGATCTAAAAGTTTAGTTTCTGTCCCTCCGGGTCAGAGCAATTTTTTTTACAAGGATAGTTCTTGATTTTTTTTTTTTTTTCAATTTTTTACTTATTTTTTTAAATGGGTATTTCTTTTTTATGCAGCGACATGTATTTTAATTTATGTTTATCTGGTTGATTATTGTACTTAGTATTTGGTTGCGTCAATTCCATAACTGTAAAACTGACCTGGTCCTCTCCCATTTTATGGATACTTGTAAGTATTTGTCTTCGTGGGGTTTGATTGCTCTTCTATAATCTATTTCTATTTTTTGCTTAGAAACCAAAGGAAAATAAGAAGAAGAAGGAGGCTGTGAAGCCTATACTAGTCAACAAGAATGAACCAAAGTTGATCACTGACAAACCTCCAGCAATTAACAACAAGTTTGAAATGATTCATCCGAAAGATGACCTAGAGCTGAAACGATCCCATAGTGTAAGTGTACTATTGATCATTCTTTAAACTTTCCTAGGCACCATTTTGTTACAGTCTCCGGACCGTATTTTTAGTGTTTTTTCCATGTTGATTCACTTATCCATTTACCTTTAAAATACAAAGCATTTTAACAGCTGTCTTTTTTTTGTAACAGTGGGATTCCCAATGCTAAGGATCACAATTTTCAGCTTCTTTTGATAAGTTTTAGGACTATTCAGAAGTATCCAAAGTTACTGATCTCAATCACATTATATACTGAAGCTAGGCGTTAGAAGCAATAAATAATTGTAAGGCAATGTGTAAAGCCCCTTCCTCCCTCATCACTTGAAATCAAAAGGAAATGACTGTGTTCAATTTTTTGGTGAAAGTTCTGTTTTGTGTCCCCTTCACCATGCTTGACCCATGAAAGGCTCCATTTTTGCAACTTTCATTTTACAGGTTCCATGGTTTTCTTTTTGAATTATAAAGCTTTATTATGAAGAACAGGAATATGACAACTATAAGAGATTTTAAAAATGATCTTATTGTATGATGTGCAAGATCTTTCTCAGCAATTTCTCTGCCTTCAATGATTCTATGTTTTTAGGTTGTCTACCTTTGCAGTTTTCTTATAATAAATATTTTTTAGTAGCTGATTTGATTGGTTTAAGTTGAAAAATGGTTAGTCAGCCTTAACTCTTCCAATCATCAGCAACTTTTCTTTCCTGAAAATGGTGCCAACAACTAAAAAGTTTGTCTCAATTTTCAGCGTGAAGAAATTTTAAATGACGCTGAATCCAAGGAGAAAGAAAAGGAGAAAAATGGTAATCAAGGAAAGAAGAAACCCGAAAAGTCTCCCAAAGACAAGAAGCAAAGCGCTGGAAATGAATCTGACAAAGAACCCAAAGAATCTCCAAAGCCCCAACGAGAGCCGAAAAATGCTCCTGCCAAAGAGCCAAAGGCTAATAAGAAAGCTGATAGTGGCTCAGTGAACGAGAGTCAACCACCTAAAATAACTGGAGCAAATAACCCGACATCGCCTTCACGCTACAAGAAGAAAAAAGCTGCTGCTGAGTTCTCGCAGTTGATCAGTAAGTCATGAAGATTTATTTCTGTAGGACCTCTTTCAATTAACTTGCGCAGCTATTTCCAATTTTTGTTTTTTTGACAAGTAGATCCTTTTATAGACAACAACCCATTAAAAGCAAGTTGAAAGTAGTGTATTTTGAGCCTCCATTCCAATGCGTATCAGCAAGGAAGGCAACAATGTATCCGAAAAAATCGAGCACACTCTCAATTGCATTATGTCCCTCCCGCAGTTTATTTTCTTTGCAGTCATTCATCGATGACAACTACTTTGGCCATAAATAGTAGCAGAGGGGTCGTGCTGTCCCTTGTTTCGAGTCGCAAGAGTCAATCAGCTACAAGTTCTGTCACAACTCGCTAGCTGAAAATGATGGGCAGTAGCCCGTCAGATCATATGTTCGAATATCAATAAGGAAAGGTGAAGTAATTGAAGAGTGTTCACAAAATGGAGCAACTTAATCGTCAAATATATCAGAATAATTCTTGTTGATGAAGTAATCCTCTTCAACACCATCAGGTAGCGTAGAGGTTTAAAACTATATATTTTTTCAAGTTCATAAAAAAAAAAAAACTTCATCATAATGTTTGGTTCACTAACTTGATGGTGTATCAAATTAAATACAGAAGTCAGATTTTATGTGCAAGTTGTTATCCAACTTAAGCTTGCTAACAGTTGCATCTTAAATATTGTATGAAATCTAGTTGGCTCCTGGAACTTATCGTTAACATCAATTTTTAGTATCAGGCTGCTTTAGTTGCTCGTGGAGAGAATAGTATCATTTAATTTCTTTTTTTCAGATGGTCCTGACTTTGTTAACATGAGTCTACTCATGCAACTGATAGGAAAAGCAGAACTTTCCCCAACGGAAACACAAAGTCTCATCGAAACATTACTCCATAAACAAGCTCCTACTGAAACATCTTCTGAATGGTTACAGGTAAGACATCTCTCTGTATTATTTGTTATTTTAATGGGCGTGCAGCCTCGGGTACTCCAGTGTTTGCTTTCCTAACCACTGCAGCAACTAAGTGGTGCGTTTTGCTAGTTCAAATCCTTGAGGGAAGAAGTGAACAAAGCTCTGAGAATCACCAATGACTTAAAGTCACGTACCTATGTAGAAATCTTCTAAAGAGGTAGATAAAAAAAATAATAAATAAAAAACCACTGCATCCAAACATAAACTACGTTACCTAGGTCAAATTCTGATTAGCGCTCAGTGAGGCATTGTCGCTGTCAATAGCATCTGTAAAAGTGATCCAGTACTTAACTAACAAAAAAACGCTGCAAGTGCTCATTTCCATCTGCCCTAAGTGGATGGCTCTGTAATTACTATTCGTGTAACAAGTGTAGTAAATATATTTCTAAAGTGGTCAAATTCCTATTTCTACAGGGGAGGAAAGACCCGGTTGCCAAATTAGAGAAGCAACTCGCTGAAAAAGAAAAAGCCCTGGCAGAGCAAAATGATGCAATGGCAGCTCTTTCCAACAAACTTAAAGAACTCCGCACCGAGCTCAACTTGGAGAAACATCAGGCTCGTCAGCATGGAGAAAATGCTCAGTCTTACCAGAAAAACATCGATGCCTTGACTTCGAGATTGCAGCTTGCATCGGAAGAGAAAAATCAAATGGCGTCTCAAATTCAGCAGGTACCTATTTTCACAAGATATCTTGATTTCTACAGTACTTCTCCTGTTGACTACCTTCCAATTGATTCTGTATTATTTGGATGCATTCTTTCAATATTTTGGAGTTAGATTTGTTTATGACAAGCAAGTCCAGCTGCAATAGACGCTATTAGTGCCTTGTTACAACCGGTATCGATCATATCAAATTGGATCCAGATAATGAAACATAACCTCACCATTCAAACATCAGACATGATAATTCCAGAGATGATTTGCGTAGTTTCAAATATAAATCGGTGTCAGAGAAAGTGTTTTTAATCATGAAACGTTCCTGTATGATTAAACTCTGTCATATCCTTGAGTTTCTCCAGTCAGTTGACGGGATAGTGCAGTTTCAGAAGAGGGGGAGGGGAGTCACCATGCCTGTCTTTCAACGGTGAAATAGTGAAATTCGAATGATTAATGGGAGGCGGGTGGTCAATATGAGGTTATGTTTCATGAAGTTCGGATCAAATTCGTTACGATCGATACTGGCTGTGACATGGCACTAATAGCATCTCTGGATACCTAGTTTTTTTTCACTTCTTTTGTGTAATGCTTTCAATTTTTACGAAGTTCGCAGAGTAAGAGACTTCATAAACAGGACCTCAGCGCATTATCTCTAGAGTTGAAATGTTCATGAAATTTTATGTGGAAAGAAAAACCAAGAATTAATTGTTGAATTATTTTAGATCCAAATTATTCAGCTGAATACCATTTTCAAAGACTCAAAGCCTTTCTCTCACACCCACATTGGAATTTAGTTTATACAGCTCGAATTTGTGCTCTAAGCATGATTTGAAGAGCAGAAAAAGTAATTTTTGATGACATCATTACTTTTTGTGAGGCTTTACTCACAGCCATTCTTCGAATTTCTATGAAGGACTTAAGTAAGTATCCTGTCCTTCCGCTCAGCATCCTATTTCAGCCTCCTGCCTCGTACCTTGTGTCTTTTGCTCTTTACCAGAGCTGTGATGAATTTGTAAATTTGAGCAATTAGAGCCATTAAGTTGAAGTCCGTCTATTGAGCTAAATTGTAATTCCGGAATGATAAATTTTTTTTCCAATCATGGCTTATACTCACATGGGCGTTTCAATAATTAATGACATCTTTAATAATCTTTCAGCTTCAAAATAGTTTAAGCCGATCCATCGATGAGAAGAATGATTTGCTCGCTCAACGGCAACAACTGGAACTGCACATCGCTCACATGAATGATCAGAATCAACAAGTGAGTAACGACTTATTTGCTTTACAAAAATTGCTGTTATGTACTTACAAAATTGTGGGAGGGGGAAATCTAATCTAAAAATGTGTGTACTAGGGGGAACCCCCCCCCCCCCCAAAAAAAAAACAGAATTTTTCTAAGAATAATACTTTATTGATTTTATAAGCAACACTTAAAAGATTGATAGCTTCAGCCGCGTTTTTACCAAGAAAAAAAAGAACTTAAGTGCCGCCTGTTGTTCGGGGAAATAGCCCATCTTACGAAATGATGCAGCCATCAGACAAGGCTCATGTGAAGTGTTGCCAAAACAAATCTAAACATGTTAGGATGCTGCTGCTTGACATACTTACTCTACATAGCTCCTAGTTCACCCCCTGGCAGCGGAGCTTGTAACTTTGAGCCATTGCCAAGTTATGGCAAAATTTTGGTTTTTTTCGGGTCCTCCCTCGGATTTTATTTTAAAGGCTCGTCTGTTGTGGAACTTTAGTCGCAAAATAAAATGGGAATTGTATTAAAAGAAGAAAGACTACGAGGTTCGAAGTAAAACTTTAAAGCTTAGTTTGACAAACTTTGAGAAAATGGTTGAACCAGTTGAAGCGGTATAACAAAAAGAGATTACATTTTGAGCTAATTTGACATTTCCTGAGGGTAAGTAAAGATCGGCATTCTTTACTAATCCTCCACCTCAGTGATTGACTTTGGGTTTAATCTTTCAAATAAGAATTAAGGGTTAAGGAAAAGTTACTACTAAATGGTTTTGTATGACGCAGGCGATGGTTGCAATGGAAGTACAGCTTGGAGCGCAGCTGCAGGAAAGAGATTCGCGCATATTGCAGATTCAAGCTGAGTGTGACGAACACATCCAAAACTGCGCTATTCTCCAGGAGCAGCTAAATCAAGAATCTGTAGCTCAAGGCCAGACTCAACAGATGATGCGCCAGCTAGAAGTATGTATCACGTTGGAATATTTTGATGACTCTGCTCCAAAACAATCAAAATTCATAGATGGTTCAAGAACCCTAAATAGAGTCTTCTCCCAATAATGCATTTCAATTGTTTTTCAATTGTTTCATGCCACTCTTTTGCTAGTTCAAAATATTTTTGAATTCTATAAAAAAAAGGAGAAAAAAAAAGGATCGAAGCCAGGTGTCTGTGAGAATCTATATTAAAGAAAAAAAAAGAATTCCAAAATTTTGAAAATGAAGTTTTGAAAATTTTGCTTAGACGCTTCGCTCTTAGTTGATATGAGTCCATGTTTTTCAAAATTGATTGTTCAAGTTTCTAAAATAATAAAATGTCCAGGAATGAGATTCTCCATTATAAAATATTGTGTGTAAATTTGAGGTGTCTAAAAAAGTAAGACGTCACGAACATGAAGGTTTTCAATACAGTAAAATGGTTAGAGACGAATGGAATATTTTTTGAAGTATAAAATGTGAAAAAAATCGAAGGTTTTGAAAATTTTAAGAAAATTCTAGTGAAGGTTTAACGCACAAAAGTAACAGTAATATTTCTCTTACATATCCGTGTTAGAAATTTCTTCCTTGAACCTTAGGTTTGGTGAGAGGGTTTGTTCAGAACTTGGAATATTTTGATCGGTCCTACTCTTCATTGAACGCTTTAATCTATTTTAGGAGTCATTATTTGGTCTTGGTCTTCATTAGTACAAGTTTAACTCTCCCAATTTAAGAATTGATTTTTTCCATTGTGCGTAATTTTGAATGTTTTTTGTTTTACGCAGGAAGCACAAGCAGTCCAAGAAAAATTAGAGCATCACTTAAATGGAGCTCAGTTTGAAGTTGTGCGACTGCAAAACGAGCTTAAAAAAGTGACCGATGAGCTTAACCTTAAACTAGGAGAGTTGGATGAGCTCAACATGACCGCACATACTTCTGTTCAAGAAGTACAGAGACTCCGCGAGGAAAATGAACGTTTATCGAAACAAGTGAGTAAAATTTTATGTGAGCCTATTTATTCATTGACAGCTTGAATTTTCAGTCTTTTATCTTTGGGAGGGAAAATTCAATAAGGCTATAGAACATGATCTGCAAAGGCAGTTGAGCATACTTCTATGCAAGTGCAGCCAATAACTTAGGTCTAGGAATAAGAACTAACCATTTCTAAAGTATTCCTCAAGACGTATAAAGTCTTTTTTCCACATCAGCTCTGAAAAAATAGAAAATATTTTCAGAATTCTGTCAAGAGTCAGCTAAAGTTCTCATTTTCATTCACTAGAACACCTCGCCAAGTACTCCAAAATCCTTTGTTTTCAGTTTAGACCAGCAGCTTTCAACTATCTTGTTCTCACATCCGTTCAAGCAGAATTTGCTTCCCACAGAAAATATATGCCAGCACACAAGTTTTTCATTCTAGCACACATGTGGCAACATTGATGTGTTATCTCATCCTGCAGCTCAATCTTTTGACACCACTGCCGAATTATCAACATCAGAGCCCCATGAGGGTAGATAAGACGCCCCCCCCCCCTCCGTCTCCTGCTCCAAAACATCATTAAATCTCCCTACCAAATCCTGCTAAGCCAAAGGAAAAGAGGAAAGAGTTTTGAGGACTGTTGTTCCAGAGAACAGAGGGGTTTTGCAGGACAGCAATCACGCTGTCTTGAATCGAGTATTGATTGTCCAGGAGATCTGTTAGGACTTAAAAATAAATTAAAGGAAGTGAAAAGTTGATGGACATAGTACTCGGTTATACAATTCAATTTGGCGGAAATCAGTATCTTTTGACACCACCATATAGCCCCAAAACCTTTCGTTAAAAAGATTCTAATGTTTTTATTTAGCATTAGTTTCAAGAAATCTGAGTTTCTCGCCCCCAAGAAAAACCAGAGTTCATGTTATTCAGATCAGGCACTACTACATGGGGATAACTGGTAATTTCGTAATCAGCTTTTACCAAATAGTATAGTGCAAGCATAATGTCTCAACTCCTCAAATTAAGAAACTTGGTTGAGGAAGCACTCAGATAATAGTGCAAATATAATAACAAAACATTAAATATCTGTATTATTCAATCAACTTTTTAATTTGAACCATTGCAGGTGTTAGAAAGCACCGTTGAAGCAAGACAACTAAGGGATGAAAACGAATCACTAGCGGCTCAAGTTACAGCCAGTACGGAAAGGCCTGCAGCTGAAGGTCATGAGAACCCTGACCTGGAGCACGAAAGCGAATCCAGTATTAGCAAAATCTCCCAACAGTAAGTAATTTTCGCCTTTCACGTATTTTTATCAGCAGTGAATACAGTAAGACCTCGAATTATCGGATCGCGATTGGATGGATTCTGCGATTTAATGGATTCGGCCTCTGGACGTGTCCTGTGAAATCCGATAAATCGAGGTCTTACTGTAGTTCTCAATTTTATCTTCTTCTCCTGATGTGTCTTGTTGGGGCTTGGATCACAACTCTAAAACTTAATAGCACACATCAGGAGAAAATAGTAAAATCAAAAACTGGTGCAAAAATCCCAATTCAGAGATGAATTTGTGAGAGGAAATAAATTGCTAAGATAGTAAATTAAAGGTTCAAAATATTTCATTCCTTCAATTAGTGATATTAAGGATTCATATATTCTGGAAAAGTGTGCCACTCTCCGATTGGTTGACAAGTTTTATATTTTTGTGGTACATAGCACCTCTGCTCCTAGTTGTAGGTTAAGGTAAATAAACCTGATTACGACAGAGTTCTAGTCATGTCAGGGATTTTCAAATCTCAAAGTTTTGAAATAAATAAGATGGATAATTTGGCGAAAAATTACAATTTTTTGTGATTATCATTCTTGTGTCCCCCAATTGTATGAATTCCTCTTAATCGGGTTCGTTCATATTGGCCCTCAAGAGCTCCATAGGAAGCCTAAAACCGATGAACCAATCAGAGAGCAGCCTAGACATGGTAATACTTTCCCCATATAGTCACTACAGACAAACCTTCATATTTCGACAGACAATGCTAGTTTGTCCTTCTGGACAGAAGAAGCAACCAGCATAAACACGTTAAAAGAGCTGACTAAGACTGGCTTTAATTCTTGCATGTTTCCAATTGAAGTAAATTCAATTTTCTTTTCTCTTTTTTCTTTCCCCCTTTTCACCAAGAGAAAGTGCCAGAAAATTTTTGCCTTAATACCAGGGTTGCCGGCAATCTGGATTATCGGAAAAATCCGAGGTCAAGGAATTTCCGACGACTAGGAAAAGTCAGGGAATTTCTGACCAATCAGTTAACTACCAAAATATATTACTGATCTTCCAATTGTTTACTCTCTCTGGACATTTTTAAGGCTTGTCATCTTTTGACCAGCCTCTGAAGGCCCGTTTTCATGATTTGATCTCTAGACAAGGAAATTTTGTCCAAAGTTTGGCAAAAGTCAGCGCATTTTAAAGAAAAAGAAATAAAAAAAAAAAAACAGAATCTTTGTGAAAGTTAGAATTGAATACTTTGGAGTCAGGGAAAAGTCAGAGAATTTAAAGGGGAAGAAATTATCGCAACCCTGTAATACTTTTTTACTATCTATTTCTTTTTTAAAGTTCAAGCCCTTTTTTTCTCTGTATTTTAATGTCATATTTTGTTTTTATGTAGGTTGAAGGAGCGTGAAGAGTACATCGAGAAGCTAGAAGAACAGTTGGAAAGCAAGAACAAGTCTCTCAACAATTTGCAAAATGAAATTCAAACTTACCAAGCAGAAATAAAATCCTTAAAAGAAGAGTTACAGTCAAGGATCAGCTCCAACAAAGATCAAAGTTCAGAAGTCGACAAGTTGATGAAAAAAACCGAACAATTAAGTCAAGAAATCAATGCCGAGAAAAATAAAGCTCAGGTTGGTTGTTATCTCCCCTCAGGTTGGAACAGTAGTGGCACTGGCAGTTTTAGGATATTGCCTTCCTGATAGAAACGAACGTATGCATTCATACACTGAATGACCTCATTTACTATTTTTATGAGCTGCAAAATGGAATGATAAAAACTTCCCTAGCTTCCATTATGAAAGACAACGAACAAGAGCAAACTTTTAAGTTCAGGTCATTGTCACTTTGATTGGGTTACCACCTTGAATATCATTATGATCAGAGGAAAAACAACGATTATTTTCGGTATCAATGTGTCTGTTTACAACGCTTCAAGAGGTCTATATAATTCTCAATGTCTAAATATTGGTGTATTATTGTCTGAAAGACAGTCATCTAAGATTTTAACCATGTTATCTTTCCTTTTTCCCAGGCAATAGCTGAATCCACCAAACTTGCCGAACAAAAATCGTTACGAGAATTTCTTCAAGCATTATATCCTAGCTATAGCTCAAATGACACCTCTGTAAGTATACCATTTTTTTAATCATGATCACTTTTGTCCACCGATAATGCATTGAAAGTGAATATTCTAATGACCAACTCAAGAGAAAGCTAGTGAAATGTCGGTACACTGAACCCTTTTGTATTTCAAGAAATGTGAATAGTAGTCAAATAGCAGCCTCCAATCAATATGGTTTATAGTAAAGTGCTTCCTGGACATCATAAAAAGCCAAGATGCAGAAGTATCTAAACTTATTTTGGTGGAAAAGAGCGATTCCATTCGCAACATTTCTTCTCGAGTTTGTTTAGATACTAGTGGCCTGTAGGATTTTGGAAAAATGAGATGGCAAACAGAGCAGATTTGGTAAGTTAGATTACATTTTTGTAGCAGGCTGTATGAGTTCTCGGCTGGGATTTTGATGCATTTACTGCTACTGTGTTTAGTACAGTGAAACCTCGCTAAGTCGGTTTCCGGATAAGCCGGTAACCCGCTTTAGTCGGTAGAATCGCCCGGTCCCGTTTATCACCCATATAACACAATGCTAAATAAGTCTCGGTATCTCGGTTTGGTCAGATTCTGAACCCGCTTAACTCGGTGAAATTTTTCCATCTCGACCTGTTTTTCTTCGATCGTCACCCGTGATCAAGCATAGGTAGTGTTTCCGTGCGCGGTGCGGGTCGGGTCAAGTTACGCCACGAAGGGTGAGCGAATCTCCGAGAAAGCGCAGCGCAGTGCGAGAAACGACATCGAAAATAGAGAGATAAGGAATCAAAAACACTCGATAACGACACGAAAGATGAGAACAGTAGAGAATAGTTTATCTGATACCGCGTGTTATCTTATCGCGCGTGTGAAAACACGCATGCATAATTAAGCAATTTCACGCATCGATGAGTTGACAGGTCAAGTCGGCACCGGCCCCTCTCCCCCTACCATCTTGCATTGCCCTTCCCCGCTCCCCCCAGGAATCTTCCGCAGAGTTTTTCGGAGATTTTAGCGAGTTTTGATAAGTTGCATTTTCAGTTCAACGACCCGCCATAGCGGGTGGCCGCGGCGCATCACCGCGCGGCATGCCGTGTGGGGTGCGCGGGGGGTGATACGCAATGGGGTGCCGCGGCACCCCAACATACGATTAACCCGATGACTTCATGATGCCCTGACACTTACAACACGCAATTTCAAGTGCATCTCATGAAATTTTACTCTTTAGTACCATTTTCTTCGATCAAATGGCTCTCCTAAACACTCCTACAAGTCACTCTACACGCACGTTTGCGTTTGTCCAATTTAGGGCGCGAAATTTGAAAAAGCGCGGCAGGAAAAGTGGCAGTCCGCGTAAGTCGGTAACCCGCTTAACTCGGTAAATTTCCTCGGTCCCGATGAAAACCGACTTAGCGAGGTTTCACTGTAGTAAAACATTCAACAGATTCGCAGAATGTTCAACTAATATATGATGATTTTGCCATTCTGTACTAAATTTATTTTAAAACACAAATTCCCATTGCAAGTTTTTCAATCCATTTGCTGCTGTGGTGTTTTGGAAACTTCATGCCAAGAGCCAGATATCTGTTTTAATTATTTTTTGGGATATTCTCTATTCTTAGGCACATATTTCCTCCATGTTTTATTCGAGTAACAGAAAATATTTTTGTCTCTGAAGGGTCTGTATTATAATTGCAAGTCATGATCAGATATTTCTCCCGTTTCAGGACCATAGTGAATGGTTGAACAAACTTAAAGTTCACGTCAAAAGTTCTTACAAGTTAGTGAACAACAATAATAAGCAATTCAGCAGTCAGACGTCAGAGGATACATCAACCGTGCTAAGTGAGCTAGAAAAACAAAATAATCAACTTAGAGGAATGGTCACGCATTATAAAACCATTATTGGTGATACTGTAAGTACTCTCTTGCTCATTTCTCACCTATGTGTGTCTCTCCACAGGAAACAGTGGCATGGCGTGCTTTATGATGTATCAATTGATCTGTCATTTAAACCCATGGAAAAGGATCGATAAACAGAATGTTCGCAACAAACGCATCAATAATCGATCTTTTACCATAGCTTCAAATGGGAAAATAATGATAATCGATCATTCACGCCTCGCCCCTTGATAGGCAAAGAAATCCCTGTTTATGGGGGCAATTTTGCTCTAAACGGATTAAAAAATTGAATATTGAGGTTCTTTAATCATAACACTCAAGTATCCTAAAGAATTAGTCTTAAGCAGTTAAGTTTCTTTTTTGTCTTGTGTCCCAAACATGGATGATAAAAATGCTGAACAGCTACTTTTGATTAGAAGTACATTTTATGAACTAAAGAATCCATAGGGTCATAGCTTTAGTTCGGTTTGACGCTTTTGTGCCAAAATGTTTGTACCAAACTTCTCAGCAAAGTATCATCCAGCACACGTGAACACACAAGGGTGCCTCAAAAAATAATTTTTTTTTCAATGGGAAGTCAAATATTTACGGTTTTCTCTCATTGATGTTCTTTGTATTTGCAGGAAGGGATGTTGAATCAGCTTCAGCTCCATGTAGAGCAAGAAGAAATCAAATGGCGACAACAGATCAAGTCGCTGGAGACTCAACTGCAACAGTATCAAGATGGGTCGCAAGATGGCGATAGTGATAGCAATAAAAAAGTATTAGCAAATAATGATAGTGCAGTATTACAGGTATGAGCCACCATATGTCTGCCCTTTGATCCTTAACTTTAATTACTCTAGTTGAAGTTTAATAATGACAATATTAATTATAATAACTCAGCTTCACATATCAAATTCAACCTTGAAAATTGGCCAGCAATTTAAAATCATATTAGGTTGTTTTTTACACGTAATATGTTTATAATAATGATGTAATATAATATATAACTAATGAATGTTTTGTTCAAAGAAAAGTTGCGGCATCTCCCTTCAGATTTTTCGACATTAAGTGCATTTTAACAAGAAATCTTCATATTCCTCTTTGTGTCAAGCACTCTTCACTGGCAACTTTATTGGAAAACCTAGCCCCTCACTGCGTTACTCTCATTAATATAATTTTAGTCTGATTGTAATTTTCCTTGTTTTGCAGAATGGCTCTGACTGAAACTAGAAAAGAAAATTCTATCGGAAGATTTCGAGAGTTCCCGTTAAAGTAATTCCCTTCTAGGTGACGGTAATTCTGATTTATTTTTAATGTTTAAATGTTACTTGTTATACAAATTTATATTTATATTCCTAATATATTTTTATTACTGTTTCAAATGATTGTACATAGCAAGAGAGGTGTTGTCAACACACTCACATTTATTTTTTACGTTGTACGTTTTGTGCGTTGCAATTTATCATGAAAGAATGCTCAGTCGTCTTGCATTTAGTCTCCTTAGCGGTAAACAGTGAACAATAGCTACAATTTTTCTAGCATTTTTATTCACTTTAGTAATTTCTCTCTTCCAAAGTAGGCTAGATTTCCTAGCATTGTTATTATTTTAATTGCAGTGCTCACCCAGCAGATATTATATAAAATTTTGACTTGGCAAGCAAAGTCACCTCTTCAAAAAAAGTTTTTTGGCCAGAGGATTACAGTTCTTTCTACAATCTGCCGTAGCTTAAAGGAGGAGGTAAAATGGATTTAAATACTTGAAAGGCAATGAGGCAGTTCTTGACAGGACAGTTGTCAGCAGGATTTTCGCGTTGCCTCTCATAGATTTTGACCCTAATTTTACTCACTTATTTGAAGTGGAACAAGCTGTAGAAATTTTATCAGTGTTATTTTCTACTTGTTCCTGTATGGTATTTGCCTTTTGTTATGCCTAGTCTCCAAGGGATGCAACAGTTTGCACTAGATGCAATACAGAGTTTTGCAACTCAAAGGTTGAAATTTGCTCATCTTTTTTGTTAACTTCTTGTGATCTTCTCAGTGACAATGAATTATGAGCTCCACCATGATTAAAATGATTGTGTAAAAGCAAACCAGTTTAAACTTTGCCCTGCGGCAAAGGCAAGCTGTTGTATCAGTTGGAAAAAGGCTTTGAAGCTCTCTCATCTACTACTTTCTTATCTCCAGGTTCAAGTAGATAGCGTATGCAACCAAGCAATCAGCAACTGAGCACTCACGTACACATTAAAGTAATGACTCAGTTTTAAGTGCTTGCTTGGTCACATACTTTTTTTCTGATCCTTACAAAGCTGAGCCGGTATTTCTGTGTCTACTCTATTTTTAACTATCCTAGTAATTAAGCATTATTTATGTTTGTTGAACCCAATTTTTACGCTGGGTTGTAATCAGTGTCATTTTTACGATTTGCACTTGAAAAATCGCTCTTTCTTCTCTATGTTGTCTCTCTGTTCTTTATGTTCTTGCAAAGTACAAAAAAGTATGAAAAGAGCTAGAGATTTGTTTGTCAGTAAGATACGCTGCTGAAAGTGTCAAATCCATTTAATTCGAAAAGTTACTCTGCACTTGAGACAAAGTGGCATACTATCTCGTGGTTATCAACAAAGAAACATAACTTATGGAGCAAAAGAGTGACTTGTTGCCACACTTCCTCTCCTTCATTTAAAAAAAAATTGTGAAGAAAGAGCTCACATAAACCAATCAACTCTCTACTTTTTTACTGCGGATGATGGTACATCTCTAAGCTAATTCTTCAGAATTTAGCGTGTTCAGTAAAAAGCTCCACGCTTGATAACAAATTCCAAAATTTGAAAAATGTTTCTCATTACTTCCTAGGGGACAACAGTACTACAAAACTACACGACTCTTGGTGCTTGAAAAGAATTATGTTCTTTTCTGTATTACTTTAGGTTTTGAAATTTTAGTGTTATAGTGAATTAATTGGCTGGTTTTTTAGGCGGTTTAATGGAATTCAATTTGAAATTAAATTAATTGAATTGGAATATATTACGTAAATAATGTATAGTGTTATCCTCAACGAATAATTTTTCTTAAAATTAAATTCATGTATTCTACTTTTTCTGTAAGGGCAAAGAAGAGTGAAAACGGGTTAGAAAACAGCGGACTTGATCAGAGTATGCTGTGTTTTATCTAATGATTAATTATTTTTTCCCTTTAAAGATCTTAGCCATGAAGCCTGGAGAATGGGTATGTGAGTTGAAAACTTGGGGTAGATTAATTAATTATCACATGCCTCAGATTTTAAAAGTAGCCAAGCATTCACTGCCCCTTTTTTATACATTTTAAATATCATCTGTCACTAAATTTATTCTAGTAGTCAAGTCAGTTTCAGCACAGGGAAGTAAGAGCTAGCATATTTCCTTATCTTTGATGGAAATTTCACTTCATGTGTGATTCAAGAAATCAATTTCTTCAATGGTAAATATGTAGTGCCATTTTTTTTTCTTCTTTCTTTTCCTTTGTCATTGCTTTTCACTCCATAACTCATTTCTGAGGGCAAATCCTCTTTTTAAATAGAAAACAATCATGAAAACACTTGTTGAAAGTTTTATGTCATGAAAATTACATGAGCGTTGAAGCCTTCGTTGGTGGAAGAAAAGGCGTGTATGAATTTTGTAATTTAGAGAAAACTGAGTTGAAAATCTCAGAAAAAAAGTGCAGATCTACCCTGTGTCTTTAGCCTCTTAAAAAAATTGAATCGGCATTGCAGAACTTAGTCTTAAGGTTTTGAGGTCAATTTTTTGTTATGTTTACTTTAGAACAGTTTTGTTTGTAATCATCTGTATCCCAAAAACTTATTTTCCTTCCTCCGTTCGCTTGTGGTTTCAATAGCAATGAAGGGAGTAAACAAAAACAAAAACCACGGAGCAACTACTTCTGATCGCAGATTGATATAATGAGACTTAGCTGTACTTAACAGGGTTTAGCAAATGGGTCAATCAAGCGTAACTCACTCAATTTTACTCGAAGGAGATATATATTATCACACATGTTTAACTATCTAATTTTTAAATTGGATTCATCGTAAGACTCAGGCGGTAAAGCTCTACATTACTGCAACATTGTGGAAGTATATTTTCAATTTCAAGTATGCTATCTCTTTGGATATTAAGTCCACAATTTATCTTGCTTGTATTCCTCACACATGCATATTGTAGAAATTATCATGCGCACAAAATTTACCTTTATTCATGTTCTAGCCAAAAAAACACGGAAGTGAAGTTCTTGAAACTGTTAAAACTTTTTCTAATCCATTAAAAACTGTAATCCATGAATTTTGTGTTGTTCCTGGGACATGTTCTAGGGCCGATCATGAAATACATCACTCTGAATTTTGGAATAAAGATCCCTCTCTCTCCCGTCATGCGGGTCTGAACAACCCACTCTAAATCATTGAGTCTTGCTTTGCTCGATATCTCTCCCCCTGTTCTGATGAAAGACAGCATTTTTGTCAATATTTTGACCAAAACCATCAAACATTTGTGCAACAATCTGGATTCCTCTTCCTTTCCCCCCGATTTTCAAGTGACATCACACAGTGCTGGATCCCTCCCTTACTCACGTAATGTCGCTGTTATGCAGGATTGTTCTGTTCCCACTCTCTCCCATGCACACTCTTGGCCCCGTTTGACTTCGAACAATGGTTAATGATTTGTGATTCATCGGTTGTGTCGTCATAACAATTCAAATCATTCAATGTTTTTACTGAATTCACATCTTGAAGTTGTACATCTCTCGATCAAAACTCGTTTTTTGTTGAAAAGTACATCAGCCCTCTTATAATACCCCTATCTGTCAGGTTTCCCAGCAGTCAGGATTACATTCCCATTACTAATGGTTAATCGATGTTCTACTCTCATTCAACTCAATTTTTCATTTTTCGTTTGTTTGGTCTTTTAAAAATGTTGCGTGATAAAAATGAGCTTTTTACACTTGAGTTGAGGTTTTATCATGTATCAAGAACTGTCCATAGAACTAATTCAATCTTATAATGTTGCAATTTTTTTTCTCTTAAAATGATAAAGCGCTAGAATATCATTGAAATTATCAATGCTGATGCATGAAGCATCTTTTGTGAGCTTCTGTATTTTTTATTATGTTTATTCGTCAACTCAAGGAGAAAAAATTGAGAAAAAGGAAAGTGCTGTCTCACTATCATAGGCAGTTTTGAAAACAATCACACATTTTAAAGTTAACGACTTGAAAAGTAGCTGCTGGGGGCAATTTTAATGATTAGCGTGGAGTATAACTTAAAGGATAAAGCGTAAATACATTGTCCTAATCAAAGGTCCTGAGCTCGTTAAAGTCAGTTAATTCTTAAACAATAGATCAAACTGCTCACCTAACTTAGCCCATGAGCTGCCACTTTTTAAATCGTATACTATATCTCCGCTCTGTATGCAGTAAGTTAAGTTAAATATGTACTTTCTTTTATATTGTCATTCATGTTCGCTGTTGGCATCACTCAACTGTACCGAGGTGTCTGTAAATCCAACTGCAGAATTTTGATACTAATCCTAGCCTAATCCTATCCCTTATTCAGTTATATCTTGTGCCATTTTTGTAACAATTATCTTGCTTTATTGTGGAAAGTTCGCAGGGAAGAATTTAGCTTGCTTCCAGGCCTTTAATTTTAATGGAAGAGTACGTGTTGAAGTTATTTAGCACATTTCTTCGCTCTCTCTCTGGTTTTATGAACATTGTATTATTGACCCTCGTAATTTTTCACTCTCTCAATTTGCCATGCATGGCATTTTTACGATTTATTTCTGTATCAGTTCCAGGCCTTTAACTTTAACGAAAGAGTATTGGTTAAAGTCGTTTACCACATTTCATTGCTCTCTTTTTGGTTCCATGTACATTGTATTATTGACCCTTGTTATTTTTCACTCCCTCAATTTGCCATGCATGGTATTTTTACAATATTTTTCTCTGTAAGTATCTCTGTATATCATTGAAAATATCCATTCCTTCTGAGTTGCTGAAGAGTTCAATGAAAAATATCCATTTTGTGTCAGGCCAAGTGAAAATTCTGATTTTTTATGTGTACCTGAGGTTGCTTTACGGTTCATTTCAAATAAATACATGAATAAAGGATGTTACATACTATCTAATGCTAAAAATATAAAGAGAGTCAACCTGAATTTTTCTCTGGTAAAAATTGGGTTTTCATCTTAGGAAATGATGTCTGCAATTACTGCTTGCTCCCTCGACAACAATGGGCCTGTTGCAAACTTTTGCTAGAGCAAAAATAAGAGTTGTTACTCATGGAGAGTGTCTCAAAAATCACGATGAGCGCATCGGCAAAGTCTGAAATGCACTCCTTACTTCACAATTTTCGTAAGAAATTTGCGTTTCTTCGAGCTTCCCGCTTCAAAAACGATACCACGGCACAGATGAACATTTTGTTGGAGGAGTCATTCCATCCAACCCCTGCTCACAAGGATACTACGCAATATTCAACATAGCCGACGCCAATATCCGCCTAAATACATAAGACGGGACGATGATTCTCACCACCTGATAACAATCTGCGTGTTTACATTCACATTTTTCTTGTGTTGATAGATATCCACCTTGATAGACCTCGTGCTCTCCTCAACTTGCGCACGGAAGCGTCGGCCGTGTTGAACAGGGACTGAATAGAACGACTCCTCCAACGAAATGTTCACCTGTGCTATAGTATCCTTTTTGAAGCGGGAATTTGAAAAAAACACAAATTTCATGCGGAGATTCTGAAGTTAGGAGTGCATTTCAGGGTTTCCCGATGCGCTCATTGTGATTTTTGAGACACTATCTGCAAGGAACATCTCTTATTTTTGCTCTAGCAAAAGTTTGCAACAGGCCCATTATTTTTAATGCAATTTACCACCTGAAAATTACGTTTAACAAGCTTGCGTTTGTTTATTCATCCTGCATTGTCACTATCCTAATTTCTGTAATCTGAAGGGAATCATGTGGAAACATTCAAATCATGGTTTGTCAATGGAAAATCTCCACCTACTTAAATTCTACAGACGAGCTAAAAATCGCTCTTCTTGTCAATTTCCAATGTTTCTAATAATTATCAATTTTCTCCCTCCCCCCTCCCTCATTTATCTAATCTCCTCTCACCACATGTGCTGTTTATTTATACGTCAATGTTTCCTCAGTCAAAATCTGGAGAATCATCTCAAGTTCCTGCTTGTAAATACTGCCTGAACTGTCATTATTTTTATTGTGTTAAAGTTTGTAATGTCCCTGTATTTTGTTACAACTAGCATCGTTGAATTATTTTTAGCGCCAATTTTCTCCCTGTAATATTATTGTTGCAATATCTCTTTATGTCATTCATTTTTTTTTGTTTTTATCACCTCTGGCACCTCATTGATTTTTTTAAAACAATCTACACTTTTCGTTGAGAGAAAATTTAAAGTTAATAGAATTATTATACTTGAGGCGTTGGGCGCACAAGGACCACTTTTTGGATGCAGTGTTACAGAATATCCACTGCCGATTCGCATGTTTGAAAGGAAACTTATACACAAATTTTTCGTTCAAAGCATTGTAAAATCACAAAGATTATTCAGTGGAAGTCTCAACAAATCACACATGTTTCACTCTTGATAGATGAAACGTAAGCAGAAATTCTTATACTTGTAACTAAAAAGTGCCCTTTCTGTGTTCCCAGCTCTTCAATTTTGGATTGTGTGAACATTTGAATTTTCCTAGCCAGATCTTGGTTAGACACTCTCCTCTTTTTCATCCAGCAAGAATGAGTAATACATTTCCATCAATGGGTGCCTGAGGTGTTATTAGTCTGGCTGAGGAAATCTAAGCTCACCATCTCTTAACTAAACTCAAATGATTTAATGTAATATTAATTTTAAAATTTCACATCCGATCAGTAAGTGTAAATATCTCCTTCAAGGAAAAGTAAATAACTTAGTCTAATTTTTGATGATTGAACAAAATGCCGAGTTCTAAGAAGCGCAGGTAGAATCTGAATGATTTTAGCGTTCAGAAAACCCTGGAAAAGGATACCTCTTGTGTTTGTCACTGATTATTAACAAACATTGATGTAATTTTCTGGATCCTTAAGCTGTTAGAAATGTGTTCTGCCTTTTAATATTTTCCCTGCTGTAGCTTTCATTTGTGCAATTCGTAATTTTTCTCTTGATTATCAGAGAAATTTTCCAATGTGAACTTGATTCAGGAGACCTCAAAAAAGTCAGGAAACCTAGTAAAAAATGAAAGTAGATAAAACTATCTCTATTCTGGTTTCTTTCACTTCATCTCTCATTTATTAAATTTCTAATGGCTCTCGATAATTCAAAACCAAAGGAGCAAGGAAATGTTTCCGGATAGATAGTTCAAAACACTTTTGAGATTCTATGATTACAGATGAAAATGCAAAAAAAAAAAAAAAAAATCTGAAATCCATATGCCACCATTTTTTCAGAATTCATCAAAGCATTTATTGATATCTTATCCAACAATTCACCACAGGATTTCATCTCACAAGTAATTTGTGTCATTTATCTCATTTTTATCAACACTCGTGCAAAAAAATTATCTGTAATTTAATTGATACTTTTTCAAGAAAACAAGCAAAAGCTGCTACTTGATTTGCAAAATCAAGCATTTCTTAAGAAACTAATCATTTCAAAGAAGTATATACTTAATTGTTAAAGGGTCAATGATCGAATTTAGAGAAATATTCACCCTCAACTGCAAAATTCTCTGTGTGATGCACTCAATCTCTGTTCAACAAGCTCTACTTTAGTACAAGGGTGTCTACAGGTCAAGAAGACATGGAGTCGTCTGGGAATTTTATGAGGTCAGGGAAAAAATCAGGGAACTTCTCGAAAAATTATTGAGAAGTGTCAAATACTTCGGATCTCAAAACAACCTTGAGCTTTTCTTCCTTCCTGTTGCATCTTAGTAATTGAATTATTGAAAGTCATTTTTGCAATCGATTCACGATTAATTCGCAAATGGTCTTAGAGTTGGCCATGCTTGTTATCCTACTTATCGCCCTAATTTCAGACTTGATGTAAATAGTAAATAATTTAAGGATTATTAGATGGATGAAATGATGTTATAAAGAATCCTCGAGAAAATCGGAAACAGTCACATGCAAAAAATAGATTATTTTAATGAAAACTTGTTTACTCAAACCGTCCGGTAGTGAAGCTCTAATAAACTTATTTTTCTGTACTTATCAATCAGAGTAAGTAATCATTAAGTGTCAGCTTTTAAAGTAACTTTTCAAATGAGGATTCAAGTAATTTCTGAATTTAATATATTAGTCATGATTTTAGAATGTTTGGTACAAAATGTTTGTATCTCCTTTAATTTATTTTATTAACAGTTCAAACACTATACTTAAGTGGAAAAAATAAATTTTTCAATCTTTTTAAAAGAAAACCTGTGTAACTCGTTATCCAATTATTTTTCACACTTTAGTCCCATTCCTTTTTACTTTGTTTCGACATGCGATACATGTTTTCCTGTGTATTTCAAAATGCTAAGTCCAATAATAACCTTGGTTAATCTCTATCATGCACCCAATTAAATTTCCCTCGGAAAAGCCCGTTTTTACAAAGGAAAACCTCAATTTTTTTAAAATATGGGTTCTGCAAGAGTACAGATTGTGACAATTTACATCAAAATTAGGTAAAATAGGGTTTCAAAGGTCGGAAAAAACCTGGCAAAGTCAGGGAATTTGTAAACAAGCGGGAAAGTTAGAGAAATGTCGGGAAATTTTCCTCCAAGTTGGAGAAATTCTCAGAGCTTCGGCTTAACTACTAAAAGCTTCTGCTCCTCTGTCGTGCTATTGAAGAACGCCGTATGAGCCTTTAGACGTCGCCAAATTTTTCCCGATGAAATACAACTTTTCAGGGAAATCTGTTGATATTTTTCATCCAATTTTACGAAGAATTTTATTCGCGATCAGATCTAAATTATCTCAAAATCCTACGAGGAAATGTTCATAACTCTCCCTTAAAATAAAAATTTTATTGGAGAAAATTTGGCAACTCTCGAATGCCATGGCGTTTTTGCCTACATCTGGCAGCATTATTACGCTACAGCGTTGCCGATTTTTCGGGAATTTTTCGCCGCAAAGCGAGTGCCTTAAGCACTGAACAGGCGATTTGTGCGCCATTTGTGATTAGTTTAACTCATTATGTCCAGGCCCGGGAAAACCGGGATGTATAGAGGAATGAACAATTTCAGAAAAAATCAGGGAATCTGTTCCCAAAGCGGGAATTTCTTCCACAACCGCTTCAGAGACCAATTTAAGGTTTATGTTATTGTACATGAGCCCCCAGTATCGGCATCTTGAATCTTCAAAATAACAGAGAAGCTTTCATTGAGGGGATAGTAGGTACAAGCATCGAAACGCTTTTGGAAGTAAACATTTTAATCTACGCCAAAGATTTGACTGTAAGTTGAGGAAAATCGATATTTCAATATCGAACTCCGGAGAGTTGGATAGTTTATTGTAAGGAAATACCTTGAGAAGCGGGGGAAAACTGTGATTTCTTATCAGGGTAGCATGGTCAACAATTCTGAACACTACGCGGAGCACCATCACACATAAGACAAACGGAACAGCAACACAACATGGAAAACGACGGTTTGGCGGTTTTGTAAACGCCTTCAATTTTGACGTGATACCTCACACACTCCGGAGAGTACGAATAGTTGTATCATTGCGACTTAGCAACGCGACGGAAAATTACAATTGAAATAGCCTCCACGCACGCTGGCAACTTTTACGCTTCCTCTCAACTTGGACAAAAGTCTTAAAAAAAAAAAATTAAAACAATGAGACGTGCACAGAAGTGTTGCATTAGCTCGTAAGATCAGATTCTCCATTAGTCCATTGGTTTTGTGTTCCGAACCTCCCGCGAAACAGCACTCTCGATGTAGAAACTTGGCTATTTTGAAAACGCCTTCAAATGCGGCGTGATACCTCACGCATTCCGGAGAGCACGAATAGTTGTATCATTGCGCCTTAGAAAAGCGACGGAAGATTACAATGGAAATAGCCTTCACGCACGCTTGTCTTGTCCGTTTTTCATTGATATTTTTGCATTTGTGATCCTAAAGTGAAAGTGCGCTCCATCCAGAATTGTATTGGAGAGATGGGTAATTTTTATCGGAGAGTTAAAAAACAAGTGCTAAAAAATGAAACTAAAAAATTGGAATTAAAACAGGGCCCGATCATCGCTCAGGGGCCCAGAGTGCTGACGGTATTAAAAGGCCCATTAATTGCGGGTTGTATACTTTGAATTGAAGGGACTCTCAAGGTATAACCCGCCTATTCCGGCTCTGAACTTAAATCGACAAAATAAAACAAAAAAAGGACAGATAAAAAAGTGTGTAAGAGCTAGTTGTATCAAGAGCGCTTTCCGTGATCCTAGTCAAATTTTGGTATTCACAAGCGAAAAACCGCGCTTTTTCATCAATTGCAACGTTGCACACCGTCACTTGTGTTCCGTTATGGTTTATTCATTTTATTATAGAAGGCAAACAATATTGTTTCTCAAAATTTTCCAAGAATTTCCCTCAATCGTTTCACAATAGAGGATTTCGATGTGATATCTCATATGGACAGCTATTGGAAAAAGACCCGATTTTGCTTCGATTGCTTCGTTGCAGAATGCACAACTCCACTCATGTTCCGGTTTTATTTATTCATTTCATTTTAGAAGCTAAATAAAAGATTTTTTCATAATTTTCCACAAATTTTCCGAAATTATTTCGCAATACAGGATATCGCGGTGAGGTTTTCGATTAGTTCCCTATTCTTTTTTAATGAGTGATAAAAGAGGGATTACCGATAATCCGAAATTTTGCAACGTTGCAATTAAGATACATATTTTTCGTTCAGCTATGATAAACATAGAAAGCAGGTGAAGAATGTCGAAGCGAGGTCCGAGTTTTGCGAGGCTACTTGCGTCTGCTATTGCAGGGTAATCGAGGCATCATCGCAGTACAAAACGCCTTCAATCCAGCTAGCCGCAATATGGACATCCCCCGTGGTCGAATAGTTGTATCAAGAGCGCCTTCCGTGATCCTAGTCAAATATTGATGGATACCAGCGAAAAGCCTGATTTTTCTCCGTTTGCAATGTTGCACATCGACACTTATGTTTCGTTATAGTTTGTTTATTTTATTTTAGAAGCCAAACAACAGTTTCTCTCAAAATTTTCCGAGAATTTTCCTGAATCGTTTCATAGTTGAGGATTTCGTTGGGAAATTTTACTTGGACGGCCACGCGTAAAAGACCCGATTTTTCTCCAATTGCAACTTAGCACACCGACGCCTGTGTTTCATTTTTGGTTTTTCAATTTAATAGCAGTCTCTATAAATTTAGTCCGATATCGGAATTGTCGTTTCGTATGAAGTTCGCGTAACACAAAATCAATGGAATGACTGATTTTACGTGCTGATGCCTCGTTTCTTTTTTTTTTTCTAAACTTTTGTTTATTATGAGACCGTAAGACCAGTCATTCTATTGATCTCGTACTCCGAACGTCATGCGAATCGAAAAACCCAGTATCGAAATTTGGCTGTTTTAAAAACTCCATCAAGTGCGGCGTGATACCTCACGCATTCCGGAGAGTACGTACAGTTGTAGCATTGCGCCTTAGCAAAGCGACGGGAGATTAAAACTGCCAAATATCGATATCGGGATTGTCGTTTCGTATGAAGGAAACGGACCTGCGTTGAGCCGGCGCAGAGATACAACTACTCATACTTGATAGATGTCCGTGTTGCGTACGTAAAATTGTAGGCGCGATGGCGCGAGACGTAAACTTGCAATGCTCTACTCTATATGGCCAGTAGAGGTGTCGCTCCGATTCGGGAGAAAAGTTTAACAAGGAGGCCCAATTAAAGATCTTCTATCTTCGGTTGGGTTGCTCATGTATCCCTTGGAGCACCACTACAAATGGACCGCGTAAAAACAGAAAGGAACCAAGCCATATCAGCTATTGCCAAATTTAATTGGGCAATTCAACTTTTTACATGAAAACGGTTGTGCGGATTTCCGTGCAAATTTCTATGAATTTTCTCCGTAACACAAAGCAAATTCCTTAAAATTTTCAAAGGAATCCGCACAAATGCTCTCTCGTAAAAATCAAATTCCCCTGTTAAATTTGTCAATAGCTGATGCGGCTTGGTTCCTTTCTGTTTAAAGCGGTCCAAATGAGATTTATGGAAATAAACACGCCATGGAAATAGAGCAAGGAAAACTCTCTTGACTCTCTTTGAGACGGCGCAGAGATACAACTATTCGTACTCGACGGACGTCCGTGTTGCGTCCGCTACATTGAAGGCGCGATGGCGCTAGAAAAAATGTTTTCTAAATGTTCCGATCAATGTTGCTGGTGAGGTGACGCTCCGACTCGAGAGCAAAGAATAAAACGAGACTGGATAACGTCTCTCTTATCCTCGACTGTGTTGCTCACGTAGCTCTGAGCCATGAATTCTAACGTGAAAAACCGAGACAACAGGATGCATCGTGAAATGAAAATTTTTAGGGAAAATCAAGGGATTTGTTCCGAAAACCGAGAATCTCTCCTTTCACCGCTTCGAAACCATTTTCGGGTTTATGCAATATTATACCGGAGCCGCCATTAAATATTTCGACGGTGCAAGTGGCAATCACATACTCGGTTTGCGACATCACAGACTTCCTATCATAGTTTACTTTTTAGACGGAAAACTACTCAACGGCAATTCTTTAAAACTGCCGTGATTTTTTTTCTCCTTGCGAAAAAAATTCTGCACAAACTTCAAGAAAGGATGTCAATTTGTTCTCCCTTACAAAAATAACATAGAGGAAGAGATTTTCAGACATCGATATTTCCCCATTTGAAGCTGTGGTAAATAATCGATCCTCTTCCTTAGGTTTAAGTGGTAGATCAATCGAGGTATCGCTAAGCACGCCACGCCTCTGTGCCAGACCTTGCCAGCTCATGCCACACCTTGCATTTATTTTTTAATTTAATTTAATTTTATTTTATTTTCTTTAAAGTATTATTACTAATTTTATTACTCAAAAACGAAGGAGATACGTGAAACTCTTTGCAGATTTGAAATGGAGCCACTTGAAGTATGGCTCGTCCCACTGGTTTAAATGGAATTGAACAGCGCAGCAAAACAAAAAACAACTTTATTCAACGTGTTCTGCTCAAAATGTTGATTGAGC